ATGATACCCGGTCGTACCAACATGGATGCAGTTCTTCTTGCTTTGTCTCCTGGAGGAGAAAGGGAAGGCTGTTCACTGTACTTCTTAGATGTGGTAATCTGTATCTTTGAGATATATCTCTTGGAGACATGCTGCTAACGGTTAAGAAATCCCGAATCAATCATTCTAGCTCACTCAAGTTACTTTTCAGCCCTTTGAAATTCCATTTGCATTATAGTGGACAGCTGAGTCATGGTGTCTGGGAGATGTCTCTCGTGAATGGGAGGAAGAACTATTCTTCCCCCTCCTGTCCAACGAGGACAGCGTAACGTCCATAACTAGAGGTCTGAATGGGTTCTGATGGTGAAGGGACGATAGGTGTTTCTGTTCTATTTAAATATTTCCCATTCTTCCTGTCTTGTTGTTTCCCAGACGTCTGTGATTTTGTCGTAGGCTGATTCTCTGTTCGATGCCAACATAGCCCGAGTCGCTGTGGAATTAGTTAACTGATCGATTGTGGCTGAAGCAACAGGTGTTTTGACTTGGCTCATGTCAATCTGACACGATACTGAGGATGTTGCCACGGATCGAGAGATGCAGCTGAGTAGGCCATAGTCGACGGAGGTGTTGAATAATTCCTTTGCCTTCAGGTATGATATGTTATTTTGACACTTAAATTTCTTTGGTAATGTAACATGTGTGCCATGACCGTTGCGCTATCTTTCTTACACTCACTGACCTCGTGTTTGTTACCACAGCGATGGCTGACCGCAGAGGTACGACACGGGTTCGAGCCATGGCCAAACTGTTGACATTTGTAACATCGGTGTGGAATGGGGACATACACCTCAACTCCGATATTGAAATAGACTGCCTTGGTTAATGCCGGAAGGGATGAACGGGCAAATGTAATTAGATACGTGTTTGCATTTACGATGACACCATATGTCTTTATGGTAAAACGTTTGACTGCAGTTACCACCTGTTCCTTCAACTCTGTAACGATTGATTCCTCAGACATGTCGGACAGACAATGAGCCCTGTCACAAATAATGCCTACACAAGAGTTTAGTGTTTTGTGCACAGACACAGCAACCTCAATATTTGCAAATGTTTTGATTGAAAGCAAATTTAGAGATTGTTGTCTCCACTACGGATAGTGGGTGACGTTGTTGACCTCACCACAAATCCCAGATACAGCTTTGGAAATAACAAACTGGTTTAGTTTGATCGGTGAAAAAAATCAGCAACCCCAATCACCAGTGAGTGAGTTAGTTAACATTTAACGTCACACCGACAATATTTCTGCCATATCGTGACGAGAATTTGAATATTAATACTAAAATATACTATGAATAAGAAATATGTCTTCGATGGACAGTTGAATTACTAGATTTTCACAGGTATACATTAAACCTATTTTAAAAGAATGAATTAATAAACAGCACATTGCCACAATTGGCTTTAGACCGACAGCAACTGATGATAGGGGCCATACTAGGGACCATGGGACCTTACAATATTACCCTAGTTGGATTTACGCCATCCCTTCAGATGTTAGCGAAAGGAGACAAATCTAGCCATAGATTAGAATAACACATATTATACGACTAAATAATGTTGTAGGTCTAAATTAAACTCATTAAAGATATTGATCTGTAATTAGAAGGATCTGTATGATCACCGTCCAGGATTTGGTATAGGGACTACAATGGCATTAATGAAACATACAACTTTATGGATGACAACTTCTTATTTATTGCATAGAGCGACGTTTCGATGTAGACTTTTAGCTTGATAACTATGTAAGGATCTACATCGAAACGTCGCTCTGTGCAATAAATAAGAAGTTGTCATCCATAAAGTTGTATGTTTCATTTTTGAGTCACCAACTTCTAGAATGCCAATCAAACAACAATGACATTAAGCCACGAAATTTCCTGATGTCCATATTTTATCAAATATATCTAGAACTGTTTCCAGACATGAATCAGGCAAATGCTTCAAGAGTTGATAGTGTACTTTTATCGGTGTATCATAAGCTTAATCAAGGGCAGAACGATGCTCAAATAATTTATTGTCTTCAAGATTAACTGAATTAAAATTAATTCTTTTCTTCTTCTGTTGCTTCTGATATTTCTGAAACCCAGGGACATAAATTTGATGATGAAGAATGTTTGGCAAGAGTTTCGCCAAGTTTATTTGCAATGTCAGTACATTTTGAACCTTTGCCTTTTATCCTTTTTATCATGTTCTACACCTTTGGAATCGGTGTATGGGAATTGTTTTGAAACATAGTTCTTCAAAGACGGACGCATATTCTGTCTAAATGCGCGTCGAGCTTTTTTCATTAGAAAATTTAACTTTATCTAAATCATGCACTTAGGATGTCTGCGAAAATATTTTTTAGCTTTCTTCCAACTCTTTCTGGCCTGTTTACAGTCACGATTAAACCATGTTTTGATAATGAATATGCTCTTGATATAGTCACAATTATTGTACAATCGAGTCTGCTTTTAGCAGAGATTTCTTATGAATGTGGAAAGGGTTTTGTCGCTTCTATTTCCGAATATGTGCAGAGGACTGTGGAATTGTTCTGTCAGCGATGTCATTCAGTATATCCGAAAATGATTGTATAGGATCCTTGTATGGCACTTTCCCAAGCAGGTTGTGTCCGTTCAGATCATCAATGATTAGATATGGCTTCGGAGGCTGACCACACAGTTTTTCAAGATCCTAATATCAGACGAAGGAGGGATATACAAGCTGCACAGTGTCAACGCAATGTGCAGGGTCAGACGAACATCTCCGGTTTGATGATTGGTATTAAGGGCGAGAGGGATATGTATGATGCCCTGCCATATCAAAGTAGGAGCATCTCCAGATTCTTTATCTCCTCGAGCAGAAAAGGAGTGATAATCCTCATCATCATGATCATATTCCCCACATCTGTAGCAAGTGAACTTAGTCCTCCAAGAATTTGACCCATGGCCAATTGTCTGACAATTAAAACAACGTGTTGGTTTTGTGATGACAAGGTTCACACGCATCGCAAAACATCCAACTTTGATAAAACTAGGTAGTACGGGGAGTCAAATAGATATGTGTTCGATGGGAACACATAGTCATAGGTTTTGAAAAGAAAAACGTCTTGCTTCAGTTCAGACACAATATCTTCAATGATTCGTCAGCAAAACTTTGGTCTCTATCTCGTATTAGACCTTTGAGAAATAGAGGGTCTTGTGACCAGAGCAGGTAGTTGGAATATCAACCAGTTTTGTTGATACAATTGGATTAATTGCTTGAAATTTCCTGGTACATTAAACCAAACAGTCCTTTTGAACGCACCTATATCACATCTTGAAAAACCACCGGCTTTACCTTTTACCCCTTTTTCCAAAAGAAATGGCGAATATGAAGCAAGCATATGTCCACCCTTTGATTCAATGACAAGAAAAAGAGCCCAAGTATCCCTCTCAAAATAATCAAGTTCCGAATCTGATTCTGACAATTGCCGTTTGGTTTTTTAAAAATTTAGTTTGAGGTATATATGTTGTGGTTCAGCACCCCTACTCCCTGCCCGTCACGGAGCGTCAACAAGGGCGATGTTATATGTAAGTGGTATTCCATCAAACTGAAACCAATGGGATACAGGAATGTAATACTCCAGTTGAACCAAAGGATTAACCATATTGGCCCATGAGCCACACCCTTCATTTGTCCCTTAGTCCCAACCTTCAGTTGTTGGTGATCTATCAAATTTATAATTTTTGGTGATGTGATGTTCTATATAGTTGGTTTTACGTCCTTCGTCGACGGGTTTTTAAATTTATGTATTTATAATGAATTTATAACTATGTTTAGTCACGATATGGCTGAAATACTGCAGCTGTGACTATAAACTTTAACTCACTCACTCACGCTTATTCGTGACCAACTCGTGTTATTCCGGGACAAGCCGAACAGCGACTCGTGTCCCTCTGGAAGGATTTCATATTGGCGCATGAACATCAGAACTACTTCAAACAAGAACGATAACTCTATACCTGTTTGATTCTGGTGGTTTAAATTTCAACCAAACCCTGAAGATTTTGAAAATGTTTTATCGAAATCTGTTACAAGGAGTTGGCAACAGTTGTAGGGTACAGAAAAACTAGCGGCCGACATATGTACAAACTTACACCACATTTAAAATCTGGTCATAAAATTCGTCGTCGTAAAAGGCGTGATGAAGCCATTCTGACACGTCTCAGACTTGGACACTGTGGGCTAAATGCTTACTGGAGTATTATAGATAGGACGGTCTCTTCTAAATGTGGCCATTGCAATTTGGAGACGCCTGAAAATATTGAACATTATCTAATTACATGCCCTGGGCATAACAACATAAATCCCTAGTATGGTGATCTACATTCAGTTGTTGGCGATCTATAGCATGTTTATATATTGTATTATCCAAATAGTGCTATCAGTTTTAACCCTCTACACTAGTTTTAGTTGTAATTGTGATATTCTAGTTGTTTTACTGTTCTTTGTCGACAGGTTTTTATAATATCCATATATTCCATTTCAATGTCAAGTATGTTCTCGTCACGATATGGCTGAACTATTGTCGATGTGACATTAAATATTAACTCACTCACTCATAACAACATAAGACGATCTGTAATCTTATTTCCTAAAAATGGTGGAAAGCGCACGTACAATCTGCAAAACAACCCCGGAAGATCGTCAGAAAGAAAGTCAACCGGACCCATGAGAGCCGTTATGTAAACAAGCGCACGTGCGTGTATTTAAATATCTCACCATCAATGGCATTATCCTTACAAAAGACTACACATGAGGCAACACAATTTTCTTAACTGTGTTCTTTGTACTTTCAATATGCCGATATGCATTTTAATGATTTTTAAACTATGACGTAATGTACTCGGGATTATTTTTATCAAAGCACGGCAATCATTACGCGCGTTCTGATTGGTTTGTTGTATTTTCGCACATAACAAGCATCGAGAGGGGAACGAGTCTTCTTGGAGGTTACGGAAAGGGCTTGTGGTCCTATCCTACCCCGGGTTCACACGGGGGAAGAGCTAAATTTATTAGCCTTACCCGGCAGTCAGCACGACGAGCCTGCTCTTCACGAGTGCCCGCTGCCGATGTGACTTCACTCCCTTAAAAACAGAAGATCCAGTATATAATATCACGAGCCAACAAAAGGGATGTGTAATGGTACAGAGGTCGGACTGTACTCAGGACTATATTTGATCGCGTTCGACACACATTGCCCAAGACAAGATCTACCATTGTAACCCTTGTAAATAACCTTGTAACCAGCCTACTGCAAGGGTATTTTCTTCGAGGTATCCTGTTATGAAGGTATGCATGAAAACGTGCACAACACATAACGTTTTGTACACATGCAGATGTGTTGAACCTTTTGATTACACTGCAAGTATTTTTCCTCTGTCTAATTGGTATTTGATTTTGGTGATTCTTGTGGTTATATATGCATTGTTGATGCGCATAAAAATGCGACAAAACCCTTTCCACACACACATTCATATAGAAAGATAAATAAATAAATTTGAAAACAAAATGTAATTGTTATTCTGCTTTTCCTCATCAGGTTCATGCTATTTGTTTTGCATGGATTAAGGTAGTACTTTGGAGGTAGTTATCTGGTATTCATTTTCCACATAGTCGTCTCCATTGTGTTGACAGTAATGACAGTACATAATCGCTTTTCTGGATCTTGCCCAATGTGTCTTCCTGTAAGTTGTCTGTAAGTTATGACATGAACACGTTGTTTGAATTCATAAGGAAAGACATCAATATTTCTAACATCTTAAGCAATCAAACAGTATCCAAATCCATTTTCAAATAGTAAGTTACTATGGTGATCTGCCTTTGGTTGCCTGGAATCAGTGCCTGTGTTTATGTTGCATTGTCAAACATACTCATGGAAATAAATAAGGTTCCTTTATTCTTTTCCAGGTTTCTTCACAAGGTATGTATTGCACTGTGGGTGAAATTCAGGAAATAAATAAAGGAACACTTGTACTTTCATGTGTTCCCTTATTTGTTTCCATGAGTATATATATCATAATTTATACGTGCCTGATTCTACTTTTATTATATAATTATACAAAACCGTGATATGCTAGTAGTTAGGCAGTTTGCTAGTAGCTATGCTGTTCTCGAGTAGTTTTGCTGTTTCCTAGTGCTTATGCTGTTTGCTAGTGGTTATGTTGTTTGCTATAGTCTGTTTGCAGTGAAAACGTACCGATGAATTTCACCTCAAACAAAAAAGTAAATCAAATAAAGTGAAATTAAGATTGCGAATCCTCATGATTTTACCTTGCCAATTGAACATTTAAATCTCTGAATTTTATTCGACTTAGGATAAAAGTTGTTCAACAAACGATCATAGTTTCACATGGCTATTATTGGTTTGTATTACAAGGGGGTAAGCGCAGTAGTTGGAACAGTGAAACAATTCCCTTTATTTTACTTTATTTGTTTTACTTTTTGGTTTAAAGTGACATTCATCGGTACGTTTTCACTGCAAACAGACTACAGTGGTTACGATGTTTGCTAGTGGTTATGCTGTTTGCTAGTACAGTACAACCAGAAATTATTGAGAATTTAAAGATTGTAATTTAAAAAAACCATTGCACTCATTACTCACGTATTAAATGTGAATATTAGCAGAACATAACTCCAGATTCAAAGACAGGTGAACAGTTAGTATTTTGTCAAGTCACCATGGGCAGCAATGCAGGCTTCAATGCGGCGGGGCATACTACTGTTCAAAGAAGTTAGAAAGTCGTGGTCCATGCTGTCCCAATATCGGACCACCTCTTCTTTCATTTCAGCAATATTTGTCAGATTTTTCTTATTGACACTCCTTCATAAGTCCCCAAACATTTTCTATTGGATTTAGGTCAGGGCTATAGCTAGGCCAATCTAATAATGTCATATTTTAGGTCCGAAACCAGGCCTGTGAATGCTTTGAACGATGTTTTGGGTCGTTGTCCTGCTGGAAAATCCAAATATTTCCATAGAACACGTGAGCAGATGGAAGTAAATGTCCCTCGAGAATATCTGTGTACCGCTCACTGTTCATATTCCCTTCAAATACACAGAGGGACGTTGCCCCTAACACAGATATGCCACCCCACACGTTAAATTTCGGACTGTACTTTGGGCGCTGATACAAAGGTTTTTCAGTTTGTTTGGTCCAGAATTTCAGTGTATTAGGAAACAGCCACACAGAATTTCATCTGAGAAAGTCACATTGTCCCAGTTAAAATTTCTATGCTGTAAGCACCAGTTCAACCTTCGCTCCTTTTGTTCAGGTTTCATGATCGGTAATGGAATTCCTCGACTTTTCTGCCAACCCATTGCATGCAGCTTAGTTCTAATTGTCTCCTTACAGACAGCCACAGTTCCTCTATCAATCATATCCAGCCTTAAGTTTTCTAAACTCCTTCGTTTGTTTTTAGAAACAAGAATACTAAGCCGCCTCCTGTCACCGACAGTCAATTTTCTTGGCCTACCTGCGCCTCCCTGGTGCTCAATGCCATATCCATTTGCAATATTTTTCAAAAAAACGATAGACAGTGGACAAAGGGATGCCTGTTCTACTTGAAATCACTTTAGCTGATCTGATGTCCTTGTTATAATACTCTAAAATCAACTTATTTCTAAATCAAAGGATCACGAAAATCGTCTGCTAGCAGGGGATAACTCTTCACAAACTAATGAACAAGGATTAACGGAGTTGTCTCTGTTGAATGAAACCAAGCACTTGATAGCTGGTCAAGGTTGTTTATACTTGAAATCCAATTAAACATATTCCTATCATTCTCAATAATTTCTGGACATACTATAGTTAAGATGTTTGGTTGTAGTTATGCTGTTTGCTAATACATTGTAGTTGAGCTGTTTGCTAGTAGTTGTGCTGTTTGCTAGTAGTTAAGATGTTTGGTAGTATTTAAGTTGTTAGTAGTTAAGATGTTTGGTAAATCACTAGTTAGCTGATCTGATGTGCTAGTAGTTAAGATGTGTGCTAGTAGTTATGGTGTTTGCTAGTAGTTATGTGCTATGGTGTTTGCTAATAGTAAGTTATGGTGTCAGCTGTTAATGTTACGGAGTTGTTGTTACATTCAAGTATTTAACATAATATTCAAATATAACTAACTTCAATTCGAGAAAATCTACTCTATATTATCACGAGCCAACTTCGGACTACTCAGGAAATCACGCGTTCCATGGGACACTGGGATTAACTGTCGAATGACTCACTGTGCATGTGTGTATGTCATTGCCGTTCGGTTTCATCCTCAGCGATTCCCGTCTCTACTAAGCGCTGCAGGTAAGTCAACATCTACCCTTGTACACATATAAATATCCTTGTAAACAGCCCACTGCAAGGATGTCTTCTTTGAGGTATCCTGTTGTGAAGGTATGCATGAAAATGTCCATAACACAACACGTTTTGTACACATGCAAACACATTTCCTCGATTACCCAGCATGTAACATTCCTCCGTAAAACTGCTATTTGAATTTGATGATTTTCGTGATTAAATATGCATTGTTGATACGTATGTGATACCTTTACATGGTACGCTGTATGCACACGTATGCATATAGGGATAGCAATGTATACGCCCGAGTCGAACTTAAGTCACAGTTCATGGGTTATGAAAGCTCAGTGAATGCTGATGACAATACGTCTTGCAAATACATGTAAATAGACAATTTCTCTTGTATACCGATATTATCATCTTAAAAGAAATTTAGGAAGAAGAAATAGAAAGCGTAATAGTCGAAAAGACCCCTGCTAAACGCAGAATCGATTGTGCGATTCCATCAGTTGCATGTGTTTATGAATCACAATCAAATTATTGCGACAGGCAGAAGTACAGATAAGCTGCGTATCTGCGTAAATTACGCAAATATTTATGTGAAAACTCAATTCCTATTGTGCACAAGTACGCTTACTTTTTTGTGTAAATACTAAAAAAAATTGATCTTACATGCGTACACGCAATAATGTCAAATCGTAAAGGTCACATGCAACCCAAAAATCATACATAATTAAAACACAATTATCACTTATTCATGACATATAATATACATTGCTGATTATGAAAAAAACATATAAGCAAAATTATAAGCGTACAATCGCAAATCCAAAGTGCAATATTTTGTACTAGGGTTTACTTCCCAAGAAACGAAGCAGCCGGGATACCGAACCCAGTCAGAGCGGGTGGGTGTGCACTCAAGTGTAACGGCTGGTTCATTTGCAGATGCCCTCACGGCTCATTGTGTGTGTATATACATAGATGTTGGGTTTTGTAAATACATGCTCATAATTTGTGTATGACATTTTGCAATCAACATCATCATAACATGTCCTCTGTACAAGTATCACACCTGCCTAGTGTTCCAAGCGCCTGGGGGAAAATTATTGAATCGTTTGAACTCCGATTTCGCGCTGTTTTTTTCATCGCGTTATTTTTCAACTTTATATGTTGAATTTGCAGTTTTGATGATTTGTTTCGGTAAGTCCATACCGAAAGGTATCAGAATCTGCAAAGTTGTGTTTTACGTTGCATGTGACCTTAAACTTGCGAACCCGTGGAGAGATAAAATAACTGCGGTATATTGAGAAGTTCTATTTCAACACGTGATCTTGGCAACTTGCAGACTTTCTTATCGTTTCTCATATTACAGATCAAACATAGATAACAAACACATAAACCAACATTTAAACTTTATTATAATTTTATACCGCCGCCATATAGCTGGAATATTGCCGAGTGCGGCGTAAAACTCAACTCACTCACTCACTCACTTATTATAATTTTACAATTATTAGAAAATGGCAAAGTATCCAATTGAGTTTGAGTGAGGTGGGTACAATTTATTTGGTTACTCATAGTAAAATCAGGATACCCAATTGAGATAAACTAATGCGACATAACTCAATGACCCAAATGGTTATCTACAGCTCTGGACAGGTGTTTGCAAAAGATGCGCGTTTCTCTCTTTAACAAACACATGCAGACGGAAAATCAACTTTGAAACAGACACGTAGTACATGAAAATACTATGGAATTGCATCGGAGATCATTTGTGTTACAGATGCGTGAAATCGGAAAATGTCCTCATGTCTGTCATATTCTGTATTGATAATACTCATAACCAGTTTAGAACGTTTAAAGTACAATTAAACATCGTGTAAACAAGACATTTTATGTTTAAGTTATTTATGATATCGCAACCAAGAAACAAGTTTCAGCACCATAATTGAACTAATAACCACCAAAACAAGACAGAATGGCCAAGTTACAAATTCTACCTATTAAAAGTATGAATGACAGATTCTGGCAATTCAAGGTGCTGTATAAGGAAATAATTATCTTTCTAGTTTGTAACTGGTTGTTCCTTATACATGATATAATCTCAAGAAAGTTAATTGTAAATCATCGGTGTTATCATATCCATTTTCATATCCATTGTAACATGCCATAATCGCCAAAAACATTTCCAGTAATTTCCAGTAATTTCAAGCATCAAGATAACCAGTGGAACAAGACAAACATGGTCGATTGCTTGGGGAGCGAGTTTCTTGTGGACGAGAAAAGACTTAACGAAGTGTTGGACAAAGCAAAGGCTTTTGCTTTCACGAAAGGTACATTTGTGATTCAGAGGTACTAGAAAACAACGTAGATGTCCCGATAAAGGGTTTATAGACAATGATAGTATTTGTACACATTTGCGCTCTGGGAGTCTCAGCAGGTAGGTAGAGGACGGCACATACATACCCTTGAGGTAATGGGTAAAAAGTTTACATCCACGTTACGTACCTATACCTGGAAGGGAAAGGTGGAAAACTAGAAGATCGATTTGCCGGGAAGTGGTCATGTACACATTTCCCAAGTTAGCGTGCAAATGGTACAGTCAAATTAATGCTAAATGAATATATTGAAATCGAGAAAACTGCTTGAACGGCTGGTGAAACTGTTTTGTCCAATTGGGGTTTGTGGATCCAGCTCATATGTTTACATATGCTTTGAACATTTTAGTCTCATTCGACTACCCTCTCAAACTGACAGGAATCTGTATGCAGTCTGAACAGCGAGGACAAGATGGAACAATGCTGACTCAGCATTATCCCTTTACCCTGTTTCCCAGCGTGGTGCCCCGGACATGCTTCCAGGAGGCCGTGGACTGCATGCTGGATTTCAACACACTCATCCATAAAGTAGCCCATGATCACAACTTCCTGGAAAATGCCCTGAAGAAGTAAGAACAAACTATCATTATTCAATGACTGTAGGCCTGATCTGGTTAGAGATTATTATCTTTCATCACATCAGAAACTGTACTACTCTATGTTAATGTCAGATTTCGGAACTATCTCCCGAAATCCCCCAAATGATTTGTACTCAGCTGCCTTCCATTATCTGTTTAACAATCCAATTAGTAATCAGAATTGCCTATAAGGTCAAAGCCGTTGCAGGATTAAGTTGACATTTTATTAAATGTTTTTCGAAAACCGTCATTTTGCGTCAATTAAGGATTTTCAAGTGGCATGAACCACCTGTGCAGTGAAATGTGTTAATGCAGAAAAATCACCAAAATCATGTATACGCTTAAAGAAACCTTCATCCTTTTGATAAAAATGTTCTGATGCTAAAAAGGGAAGCGCAGGAAGGTACCATTTTATTATTACAGAAAAGGGCAAAAATTGATTTTATGTTTGTGAAGTTTACCCTGTCGATAACTACGCATATCTATCATATTTGGTTTAATCAAATACATATCATTTTGATATACTAGTAATTTCCCATCTAAATTATTTCTTTACACTGAAAACAAAGTATCACACTAAATATCGAGGAATTGAAAATTATCAGCAGAAAATGCACTTTACAATGAGGAAATAAAGTATATTGAAAATACGATGTGCCGTTGTGATGGACATCCAATGATCGAGGGAAAACAAAGCGCATTTGAGCAGTTGTACTGGATATCGGCGCTATACAAATGTTTGTATGTATGTATGTTTACGTTGCTCATTCTGGTGTCCTATGCTCCTGCAATAGTTATCATTGGAAATGTTCTCATTAATGAACTTATCGTCTCTGGTATCTTGTGTCTTGACCCTCATTTCAGTGTTTTGGAGGTTGATGAGTTTACACAAGGGTTGTGGAAGATCTACACTCAAGTGAGGGAGGAGGGATACACTCAGGTATATATGCTCTTCAACAAATATTGGTAGTATTTCTAACATTTGTCTCAGGCTGATGTTGCTTATCCAATGACTGTCCCTCCAGACTGTATCGACCGACGTGGTATTGCAGAAGGGTTACTGTTAGGTGTCAGGCAACAAACACGTTCCTTCATATGTAGCGCGTGTATGTGTAGGGTGCTATCTGGAGGACAGGAGATGATGTTCATTGTCGACAACAGCCGGTGCTGTCCGTTCAAATAACTGTCCTCACCATTTGGCATTTTACATCCTATGTAATGTGTCTCGGTGGATATTGAAACTTCCTAGTCTCTGGTCTTGATATTTTGCATCTACAAAAATATACTCGATTATGAATTTGTTTTTGTATCCTGAAACGAAGCTCGATCTGTTCTTGTCCTATTTCTGGCACTTCATGTCACCTATTAACAAATGAACTGCTTAGTAGATTTTGGCCACTTTCTGGAGGAGTCGAAAGAAAACAAAAAAGAGTCTTAAAGTGTTTCCTATTTTCAGCCCCTGTCATTGGGATTGTTCAGAAACGACTTCATGATCGATGTACAGGACCCTGACCATGTCCAGATTAAGCAGGTTGAGATCAACACAATAGCAGCAGGTGCAGCCAGCCTTGGATCATTGTTAGTTCACCTGCACAGGTAGGTCCTTGTCTGATATTACCTCTGTAGATTAAGGTATGTGGATTTTTTACCCCTTTTACGCTAAGATCGCTTTGTACAACGGCACCCCTGTATGTTGTTATTCCTCCGCCATTTCATTACGCTCATTTCATTGAGGTATCAATGCATTTACAGACATGGTATGTCTAGCGCTTGGAACATATTTTGATTACATTGTATTTGTCAGCACCCATCTTTCATCTATTAGGAGGCTAATGGTATGTAAGCGGTGGCTCTTCATCTCCTAGTTCCTGGTTCGATTCTGCACTGTCGCACAACTGATTGATTGATTGAGTTTAGTTTTACGCCGCGCTCAGCAATAGTCCAGCTATGGCGGCGGTCTATAAATAATCGAGTCTGGACCAGACAATCCAGTGATCAACAGCATGAGCATCGATCTACGCTATTGGGATACGATGACACGTAGCCAACCAAGTCAGCGAACCCGATCCCGTTAGTCGCCTGTTACGACAAACATGGGTCACTGAAGATCAATTCTAACCGGATCTTCACGGGTCCTTTCGCACAAAACATCAATGATACCTGTAGATAAAAAATGTTATTACATCAGTTTAATAATCTACTCACTCACTCATTTACCTTAAGGGGGTAATACTGTTTAGTTCTATATATATACACTCTTATAAACTTGACAAATATTACAAGCACATTTTCAGAGTGTGCTATTCTAAAGCTGAACTTCGGACATCGCTGTTCAAATGACTTTTGTTTTGCAGGTTTACCCTTGACATTTTAGGGAAGCATTACAATAAAGAGGTGGTGAGTAGGTTACACATGTGGTGATCTGGAGAAACCAGACAAGATTGGCATGATTTGCACCATGCCTAGTACTCAGGTATCCCATAGCTAAGCCAGGCTGTCTGTGTGAATGAATGAATGAATGAATGAATGAATGAATGAATGAATGAATGAATGAATCTCCATTTGTACAATTAATATACCCATAATGAATACTCACAGACATTATATCAAATCACATTAGATTGAAAAGGAGTGATTTCTGATACAAGTAATGTAGAAGTACTGAAAGTGTCTCTACTAGGTCCAGGATATCGACGCTTCTCTGGGAGCAGCTTGGGGTATACTGAAGGCATGGGAGTTGTATGGACGGAAACAGTAAGTGCTCTAAATGTCGTACACTGGTGACATCATATACCTTTGTGAAAGTCTGGCATAAATAACAATACCATCAATGATGAGAGCTAACATACTCTCTTTTGAGGTACTTTATTGTATCAAAACAGTAGGCACAGCATTGAACCTTTCTAAAATGCTTCTGGTGCATTTAGTCACTTGTTTTTTAATTTTCCCAGGGCTGCCATACTCTTTGTTGTGCGTGACTCAGAACCAAACATATTTGATCAATGGCACCTGGAGTTCAAGGTCTTCTCTCTCAACCCTGGGGTTCGGGTTCTACGTCGTACTTACCTGGACATCTACAACGGTGCCTCCTTGACAGAAGATAAGAGACTGGTGGTGTACGTGATCACAAAGTGCTTCCATCAGACATATAGTTTCAATAGCTCACCTTCCCATCATCTGAGAACAAGTTTAAGTATATGAAAGATCGTTATGGAAGATCACAGTCGCATTATTAAGATGCGTTGATCACCAACTTACAGAATACGTCAAACCATTATTGTAGCTCACTTTCATATAGCAAAATATATCAGTGATATTTGTTTAAAGTGTTCTCAGAAACTTGACATAAAAAAATCTATGTTTAAGGGATTATAAGACATTGCTGAAACTTGAAACTTGCAACACATATTTGTCAATATTCCAGGTTATAATCCCAAAATCAAGAATTAATATTCATTAAACAAAACCTCAGCAATACCTATTTTGATAATAATAATAATAATAATAAGTCAGATTTCGGAACTATCTTTCCGAAATCCCCTAAAATGATTTGTGTACTCAGCTGCCTTCCATTATCTGTTTAACAATCCAATTAGTAATCAGAATTGCGTCTATAAGGTCAAAGCCGTTGCAGGATTAAGTTGACATTTTATTAAATGTTTTTCGAAAAACCGTCATTTTGCGGCAATTAAGGATTTTCAAGTGGCATGAACCACCTGTGCAGTGAAATGTGTTAATGCAGAAAATCACCAAAATCATGTATACGCTTAAAAGAAGCTTTCATCCTTTGATAAAAAATGTTCTGATGCTAAAAGGAAGCGCAGGAAGGTACCATTTATTATTACAGAAAAGGGCAAAAAAATTGATTTTATGTTTGTGAAGTTTACCCTGTCGATAACTACGCATATCTATCATATTTGGTTTAATCAAATACATATAATTTTGATATACTAGTAATTTCCCATCTAAATTATTTCTTTACACTGAAAAAACAAAGTATCACACTAAATATCGAGGAATTGAAAATTATCAGCAGAAAATGCACTTTACAATGAGGGAAATAAAGTATATTGAAAATACGATGTGCCGTTGTGATGGACATCCAATGATCGAGGGAAAACAAAGCACATTTGAGCAGTTGTACTGGATATCGGCGCTATACAAATGTTTGTATGTATGTATGTATGTATGTATACGTTGCTCATTCTGGTGTCCTATGCTCCTGCAATAGTTATCATTGGAAATGTTCTCATTAATGAACTTATCGTCTCTGGTATCTTGTGTCTTGACCCTCATTTTCAGTGTTTTGGAGGTTGATGAGTTTACACAAGGGTTGTGGAAGATCTACACTCAAGTGAGGGAGGAGGGATACACTCAGGTATATATGCTCTTCAACAAATATTGGTAGTATTTCTAACATTTGTCTCAGGCTGATGTTGCTTATCCAATGACTGTCCCTCCAGACTGTATCGACCGACGTGGTATTGCAGAAGGGTTACTGTTAGGTGTCAGGCAACAAACACGTTCCTTCATATGTAGCGCGTGTATGTGTAGGAGTGCTATCTGGAGGACAGGGAGATGATGTTCATTAATCGACAACAGCCGGTGCTGTCCGTTCAAATAACTTTCCTCACTATTTGGCATTTTACACCCTATGTAATGTGTCTCTGTGGATATTGAAACTTCCTAGTCTCTGGTCTTAATATTTTGCATCTACAAAAATATACTCGATTATGAATTTGTTTTGTATCCTGAAACGATACTCGATCTGTTCTTGTCTATTTCTGGCACTTCATGTCACCTATTAACACATGAACTGCTAAGTAGATTTTAGCCACTTTCTGGAGGAGTCGAAAGAAAACAAAAAGAGTCTTAAAGTGTTTCCTATTTTCAGCCCCTGTCATTGGGATTGTTCAGAAACGACTTCATGATCGATGTACAGGACCCTGACCATGTCCAGATTAAAAGCAGGTTGAGATCAACACAATAGCAGCAGGTGCAGGCAGTCTTGGATCATTGTTAGTTCACCTGCACAGGTGGGTCCTTGTCTGATATTACCTCTGTAGATTAAGGTATGTGGATTTGTTACCCCTTTACGCTAAGATCGCTTTGTACAACGGCACCCCCTGTGTGTTGTTATTCCTCCGCCATTTCATTACGCTCATTTCATTGAGGGTATCAATGCATTTACAGACATGGTATGTCTAGCGCTTGGAACGTATTTTGATTACATTGTATTTGTCAGCACCAATCTTTCATCTATTAGGAGGCTAATGGTATGTAAGCGGTGGCTCTTCATCTCCTAGTTCTTGGTTCGATTCGCTGCACTTTCGCACAACTGATTGATTGATTGAAGGTTTAGTTTTTACGCCGCACTCAGCAATAGTCCAGCTATGGCGGCGGTCTATAAAATCATCGAGTCTGGACCAGACAATCCAGTGATCAACAGCATGAGCATCGATCTACGCTATTGGAATAAAATGACACGTGTCAACCAAGTCAGCGAACCCGATCCGTTAGTCGCCTGTTACGACAAACATGGGTCACTGAAGATCAATTCTAACCGGATCTTCACGGGTCCTTTCGCACAAAACATCAATGATACCTGTAGATAAAAATGTTATTAAATCAGTTTAATAATCTACTCACTCACTCATTTACCTTAAGGGGTAATACTGTTTAGTTTTTATATATATACACTCTTATAAACTTGACAAATATTACAAGCACATTTTCAGATTCTGCTATTCTAAAGCTGAACTTTGGACATCGCTGTTCAAATGACTTTGTTTTGCAGGTTTACCCTTGACATTTTAGGGAAGCATTACAATAAAGAGGTGGTGAGTAGGTTACACGTTACGTGGTGATCTGGAGAAACCAGACAAGATTGGCATGATTTGCACCATGCCTAGTACTCAGGTATCCCATAGCTAAGCCAGGCTGTCTGTGTGAATGAATGAATGAATGAATGAATGAATAAATCTCCATTTGTAAAATTAATATACCCTTAATGAATACTCACAGACATTATATCAAATCACATTAGATTGAAAAGGAGTGATTTTCTGATACAAGTAATGTAGAAGTACTGAAAGTGTCTCTACTAGGTCAGGATAACGACTCTTCTCTGGGAACAGCTTTGGGGTTTACTGAAGGCGTGGGGGAGTTGTATGGACGGAAACAGTAAGTGCTCTAAATGTCGTACACTGGTGACATCATATACCTTTGTGAAAGTCTGGCATAAATAACAATACCATCAATGATGAGAGCTAACATACTCTCTTTTGAGAGGTACTTTTATTGTCTCGAAACAGTAGGCACAACATTGAACCTTTTTAAAATGCTTCTGGTGCATTTAGTCACTTGTTTTTAATTTTCCAAGGGCCGCCATACTCTTTGTTGTGCGTGAGACCGAGTCAAACATATTTGATCAACGGCACCTGGAGTTCAAGGTCTTCTCTCTCAACCCTGGGGTTCGGGTTCTACGTCGTACTTACCTGGACATCTACAACGGCGCCTCCTTAACAGAAGATAAGAGACTGTTGGTGTACGTGATCACAAAGTACTTCCATCAGACATATAGTTTCAGTAGCTCACCTTCCCATCATCTGAGAACAAGTTTAAGTATCTGAAAGATCGTTATGGAAGATCACAGTCGCATTATTAAGATGCGTTGATCACCAACTTACAGAATCCGTCAAACCATTATTGTAGCTCACTTTCATATTGCAAAATATCTCCAGTGATATTTGTTTAAAGTGTTCACGGAAACGTGACATAAAAAATCTATGTTTGAGGGATTATAAGACATTGCTGAAACTTGAAACTTCAAACAAATGTTTGTCAATATTACAGGTTATAATCCCCAAATCAAGAAATAATCATTAAACAAAATCTCAGCAATACCTATTTTGATAATAATAATAATAATAATAATAATAGAAAGCATACGACTCTGTCCCTCACGAATGGATTCTGAAGTCTCTTCATTGTATTGACCTCCCTGAGCGACTACTTGATTTGCTCAAGTCTTTAATGAGTTGCTGGTCGACTCAGCATGAGATGTACTCACAAGGGCAGGTGCAGACTTCGGAATCTATTCCAATCAGAAGGGGAATATTTCAGGGGATTCCTTTAGTCCTTTGCTTTTTGTCTGTCTTTAAATCCTTTGAGCTTTCTGCTCAATAAAGAGGAGGGTTACCATCCCGGACCTCCTCAGCACAGATCCCCCAACACCTCTTACTCATCTCCTTTACATGGATGATATCGAGGCTCCTTGCCAAAAGGAGATTCCAATTTGAAAGAGCAGGTTCTCCTTGTCGAGTCCTTTTCTAATGTTATTGGCATGACATTTGGACTCGACAAATGTAATACTCTTCATTTGAAACGTGGCAAGGTAACTAATGATGGCTCGGTCAAGAGTTACAAGGGGAGGAGTTATTGAGCATCTTGTGGAAGATCAGGCCTACACCTATCTTGGAATGCAAGTTCGAGACAAGCTCAGAATGCCCAGATTCAAGACAAACTTCGGGCTGAGTATAAAATCTCGTTTAAAGAAAATCTGGAGCTCAGAGCTAAATGCTCGAAACAAGGTCAAAGCCACCAATACTTTTGCTGTGCCAGTCCTTTCCTATTCCTTTGGAGTAGTTGATTGGACAAAACAAGACATCCAGAGTCTTGACCGTCTAACCAGAAGGATCATGTCTGATAACAGGAGCCCACCACCCTCGTTCCTCTCTTAACCGTTTATACATGCCAATCAATTCTGGAGGTCGGGGTTTGATTAATGTGGAGGCTCTTCATGATAGAATTTTATTGTGTACTTTTGCACATATATATTTATCAGATGATCCTCTAGTGATGCATGTGAAGACTCATGATGAAAGCAAGGAATTCCACAGCTATTTTAAGCGTGCCAAGGTTGTTGGACAGAATCTGAAATTTGAGGTTGACTTTGCTGATGGCAATGTACTGCTGGACGGTACAGCGATGGGAGTAAACCAGGTGAAGTCCTTTACCAAGTCTGCCCAGAGTCGGTCTTTTGTGGAGAAGCTTTCTGAGAAGCCATTGCATCGTGTGTACATGCAGTGTGTTGGAACAGAATAGCAATCCCACCGACTCCTTCGCCTGGATGAAGTCGGCTGGTCTTAAATGTGAAACTGAGGGCTTCCTTTTTGCTGCTCAGGACCAGTCACTTCCCACTCGTAATCGCCTAAATGTGATTCTTAAAGAGAATATTAACATGAAATGTCGACTTTGCAATGAATTTACAGAGACTGTCCAACACCTTGTCAGTGGATGCCCTTCCTTGGCACAAACAGCATATCTTAAAACGACATGATGGCATGGCTCGTTGCTTTTACTACCGTCTCCGACATGCCTGTGGCTTTGACTCCGAGGTCCATCCATGGTACGACCCTGAACATGTCCAGGGCGTCATGGAAAATGATGCTCAAACTTCTCTGGAATAGGCCCATATACAGCCTCAGAAGAATTCCAGCCAACAAACCTGATCTTGTCCTTTTGATAAAGCCAATGAATTTATTTATATCATTGAATTTTCTGTCCCTTTTGACACCAATGTGATTGGCAAGATTAAGGAAAAGCATGATAAATATGCGGACCTCGCCTTTGAAATGTCTCGCTTGCATCCCAAGTACACTGTCGTCAGGCTCCCCATTGTTCTCGGTGCCCTTGGTTTGGTACCTCCTGATCTCTTGGCGCAGATCAGGAGAGTGCCCGGGTTCTTCACCGGGAGCACAGCCCTTCTGACACTCTGGGTAATGCAGAAGGCTGCAGTGTTGGGGAGCCTTCATATTCTCCGGAAAGTTCTTGGTGGGTTCGACTAGGCAGCGTTTCCTGGGAGAAGTCCCATTCGCTGTCTGGGCTGCGTGTAGAGGGGGCAAGGGCCCTGAGCTGATGATGAGCCTTACCAGCCTGACTGTGCCAGGATCACCCGAACCCTCTCTGCTGCATACAATTTTAATCTGTAAAACATAATAATAATATAGAAAAACCGTTTTCAAGTAAAACTAACGGAAACTAGAAAATACATTTCCTGGATAGAACTGTGCCTGAAGTTAAGATCATCAGGGAGTCCAATGTCAAAACGGCAAAAGTCAATTTGGAGAAAATTACAATTACAATACAAGACAACAAAGAAAAGGTACTTCTCCAAATTGTCGATTCCCTTAAGGCCAAAATAAAGGTTTGGACTGAAAGAAAGAAAAATGGGAAAAAGAAAATAAATTCATCAAAACAAAATAAACTTTTTAGAACCAATGAAAAACACTTCTACAGGCAACTGAAAACAAAGGTGATGGTGAACATGACAAACGGCCTCCCATGGATGCCAATGAAAGGTTCTGGAAACAGTTGTGGTCTGTACCCGGCAACTGTAACCTTGAGGCAACATGGGTCCGTGATTATGACCATGCAATGCATGAGAAGGTAACTAGGTCGTTTGTCTGTTACATCTCACCAGATTGCCTGAAAAGTGTTATAAAAAAGTCCAAATCTAATACAGCTCCAGGGCCTGATGGCATTCGAAACCGGTATTGGAAACTGTTCCCCTGTGTCCAAACACCGTTACTACACTGTTTCAATACTCTCGTGGACACAGGTGATGTTCCTCCATGGTTCTGCAAAGGTCGCACAATACTTCTCCCCAAAAAGGAGACTTGACTGATCCCAAAACTTCCGCCCTATCACATGTTTGAATACACAATACAAAATATTCACAGGGTGTTTAACAAACCTCGTGTCATCTTACTGCTCTTCCAATGATATCATTTACAGAGAGCAGAAGGGAGCAAGAAAGGGATGTTGGGGGTGCAAGGATCAACTTCTTGTACAGAAAATGATTTTGGAAGAGGCTAAAACTTATCACCGCAACCTCTCCATGTGCTGGATTGACTACAAAAAAGCATACGACTCTGTCCCTCACGAATGGATTCTGAAGTCTCTTCATTGTATTGACCTCCCTGAGCGACTACTTGATTTACTCAAGTCTTTGATGAGTTGCTGGTCGACTCAACTTGAGATGTACTCACAAGGGCAGGTGCAGACTTCGGAATCTATTCCAATCAGAAGGGGAATATTTCAGGGGGATTCCTTTAGTCCTTTGCTTTTTTGTCTTTCTCTAAATCCTTTGAGCTTTCTGCTCAATAAAGAGGAGGGTTACCATCCCGGACCTCCTCAGCACAGATCCCCAACACCTCTTACTCATCTCCTTTACATGGATGACATCGAACTCCTTGCCAAAGGAGATTCCAATTTGAAAGAGCAGGTTCTCCTTGTCGAGTCCTTTTCTAATGATATTGGCATGACATTTGGACTCGACAAATGTAATACTCTTCATTTGAAACGTGGCAAGGTAACTAATGATGGATCGGTCAGGTTACAAGGGGAGGAGTTATTGAGCATCTTGTGGAAGATCAGGCCTACACCTATCTTGGAATGCAAGTTCGAGACAAGCTCCAGAATGCCCAGATTCAAGAAAAACTTCGGGCTGAGTATAAATCTCGTTTAAAGAAAATCTGGAGCTCAGGCTAAATGCTCGTAACAAGGTCAAAGCCACCAATACTTTTGCTGTGCCAGTCCTCTCCTATTCCTTTGGAGTAGTTGATTGGACAAAACAAGACATCCAGAGTCTTGACCGTCTGACCAGAAGGATCATGTCTGATAACAGAGCCCACCACCCTCGTTCCTCTCTTAACCGTTTATACATGCCAATCAATTCTGGAGGTCGGGGTTTGATTAATGTGGAGGCTCTTCATGACAGAATTTTATTGTGTACTTTTGCACATATTTATTTATCGGATGATCCTCTGGTGATGCATGTGAAGACTCATGATGAAAGCAAGGAATTCCACAGCTATTTTAAGCGTGCCAAGGTTGTTGGACAGAATCTGAGATTTGAGGTTGACTTTGCTGATGGCAATGTACTGCTGGACGGTACAGCGATGGGAGTAAACCAGGTGAAGTCCTTTACCAAGTCTGCCCAGAGTCGGTCTTTTGTGGAGAAGCTTTCTGAGAAGCCATTGCATCGTGTGTACATGCAGTGTGTTGAACAGAATAGCAATCCCACCGACTCCTTCGCCTGGATGAAGTCGGCTGGTCTTAAATGTGAAACTGAGGGCTTCCTTTTGCTGCTCAGGACCAGTCACTTCCACTCGTAATCGCCTAAATGTGATTCTTAAAGAGAATATTAACATGAAATGTCGACTTTGCAATGAATTTACAGAGACTGTCCAACACCTTGTCAGTGGATGCCCTTCCTTGGCACAAACAGCATATCTTAAACGACATGATGGCATGGCTCGTTGCTTTTACTACCGTCTCCGACATGCCTGTGGCTTTGACTCCGAGGTCCATCCATGGTACGACCCTGAACATGTCCAGGGCGTCATGGAAAATGATGCTTTCAAACTTCTGTGGAATAGGCCCATATACAGCCTCAGAAGAATTCCAGCTAACAAACCTGATCTTGTCCTTTTTGATAAAGCCAATGAATTTATTTATATCATAGAATTTTCTGTGCCTTTTGACACCAATGTGATTGGCAAGATTAAGGAAAAGCATGATAAATATGCGGACCTCGCCTTTGAAATGTCTCGCTTGCATCCCAAGTACACTGTCGTCAGGCTCCCCATTGTTCTCGGTGCCCTTGGTTTGGTACCTCCTGATCTCTTGGCGCAGATCAGGAGAGTGCCCGGGTTCTCCACCGGGAGCACAGCCCTTCTGACACTCTGGGTAATGCAGAAGGCTGCAGTGTTGGGGAGTCTTCATATTCTCGGGGAAAGTTCTTGGTGGGTTCGACTAGGCAGCGTTTCCTGGGAGAAGTCCCATTCGCTGTCTGGGCTGCGTGTAGAGGGGGCAAGGGCCCTGAGCTGATGATGAGCCTTACCAGCCTGACTGTGCCAGGATCACCCGAACCCTCTCTGCTGCATACAATCTTTAATCTGTAAAAACATAATAATAATAATAAAGCCTCAGAAGAATTCCTGCCAACAAACCTGATCTTGTGCTTTTGATAAAGCCAATGAATATATTTATGTCATTGAATTTTCTGTCCCTTTTGACAGGAATGTGATTGGCAAGATTAAGGAAAAACATGATAAATTTGCGGACCTCGCCTTTGAAATGTCTCGCTTGCATCCCAAGTACACTGTCGTCAGGCTCCCAGGTGTTCTCAGTGCCCTTGGTTTAGTACCTCCTGATCTCTTGGTGCAGATCAGGAGAGTGCCCGGGTTCTCCACCGGGAGCACAGCCCTTCTGACACTCTGGTTAATGCAGAAGGCTGCAGTGTTGGGGAGTCTACATATTCTCCGGAAAGTTCTTGGTGGGTTCGACTTGGCAGCGTTTCCTGGGAGATGTCCCATTCGCTGTCTGGGCTGCGTGTAGAGGGGCAAAGACCCTGAGCTGATGATGAGCCTTACCAGCCTGATTGAATCCTCTCAGCTGCATTTTTCATCTTAATCTGTAAAACATAATACACATTTCTATATTCTGCGTACTGTATACCCTACCCTTAAATTACCATTGGTTGAGGCAATTACAAATCATGTCTTTCTTTCTACAGTGACGGAGATGAAGTGGCAGTTGTGTATCTGCGTGCTGGCTACGCACCAGCTGAATTTCCTACACATAAGGTATGCATACGCGTACGTACGTGTGGATGGAAGTCGTACTTCCACGTTGAAATATCTACCGTCATATTATGTACATCATGTAGGTGGCATGCATTGTGTATCGTTGTCAAATGTTGAAAATCTTCTTATATATTATACACGGGCCAAGCAATAACATATGCATGTTTATAATAGTGTGTATCCACGTTGTGGTTTCGGACCAAATATCCTCCAGCTCATTATGTTTGTCTCAGTCGTGTTTCTGTTGTGAAGGTAAGTTATCTTTACAAGGTGTGACCCTTGGAATCAGGAATTAACGGCGGGGGAAACTATCATGCTGATTTTAGCATTTCCTTTAGCAAGACATAAAACATAACAAAGTGTTTTAGACATATTTTACTAATTGACTCATTAATATCTGATTACATTTGATTACTGTTTAAGGAATGGGGTGCAAGACTAAAACTTGAACGTTCATTGGCAATCAAATGTCCCTCCATCCAATATCATCTGGCTGGGACAAAGAAAATCCAACAAGAGTTGACCCTACCTGGATCAGTGGAACAATTCATGAAAGACCCAGCTGCAGTGAAGAGAATCCGAGCAACATTTGTGAAGCAGTTTAGGTTAGATCTGGTGAGTACTTTACGTGATAAACGAAGGCGATACGATCAGCTGTTCAGAACAGCACCACACATTTAACAGACATCTGGTATGATGTATACATCATAAGGATTTCGATCTATTGTGTCTCTATGTATCATTCATGTCTCATTTTTTCCAATTTTATGTTACAATTTCCATTACATCAGCTTTATGTTCTCCAATTGAAAGTATTTTAAGTGTACAGTGAGTAGTTTTATTATCTCTTATATATAGTACACATACATACAAAGCACATATACAGTCAGTCAGTTATAGCATTTCGAAGAAATAAATGGAAGGATGACCAGAAAGAATGAAAACTTGCATAGCTACAATTAGAAAAAGCAATAAATTTTGAGATTTCATAATATTTTAATACTTCTTTTTGAAACCATATAAAATTGTTTTTCACTGCTTTCTTACTACATTTATACAACATATATTTGATTACTATTATCACCACATTAAGAGGATTATTATGTTTACCTTTAAATCCAAATAATATATGTTCTTCACTTAAATGAATTTTACTTTCCATTTTCCTTCAATCCATTCAGTAAATTTTGTCCATATATCTATTGTATATTGACAATTACAAAGCACATTTGCTTTATTCAGCTGGATCGTTACACAATGAACATGCTGGTGACTTAACATAGCCAATCTTATATAAATAACAATTAGTGCTGAGAATATTATGTAAAGTCTTCAACTGAAACCATCTTAAGTCACTGCTTTGTGTACATCTTTTTGCCATCAAACTATAATTTATCCATTCTGTTTCAGTAATGTGTTTATTAAGATAAAGCTCCCATTTGCTATAGCACCTGAAGTACTGTTGATTTTAGAAATATTATAAGGTAATATTGGTTTTTGAGAGATCTCTTGTATTTGACTAAAGCTAATTCTTTGTAAGTATTGGGCGATAGATTGTTTCAACCCTTGAAATGTTAAAAAGTATGTATTCAAAGTATATTTTTGAATAAATTCATGGAAATATACCAATTTCCTGTATCGTTGAAGATATCGTTAATATATGTTACACCTTTTTCATACCAATGGGCAAAATATACTGGCTTATTATCAATTGTTATGTTATTATTGTACCAAATTTACATATTCATTACATCCGTAACATATTGTTCAATATTATCACAACAGTTTAAATATGATGCATATAATGGCAGCGTTTCTTTTCAAACTGGTTGTGGATATTTTAGACAATATTGTTTTCTATATAGAAAGCATCAGCCAAATTTATTATTTTTGCCTCAGCTAAATGATCATAAAAGAAACATGCCAATTTGGACTTACTAACAGATAGTCTTTTGATCCAACAAAGTTTCTGAGCCGCAATAACTTTTTCTAATATTGGTACACTTATGCCTCCATACTTAGGCTGTAGTGACATTGTATCTCTCTTGACTTTATCTGGTTTAAATTTCCAAACAAATTAATAACATTTCTTTGGAAAAGATTCTATTATAGTTTTAGTTGGGCTTGGTATACTGCTGAATAAATGGTTTAGTTAATTTAGTAATAATGATTTTAACACAATATTTCTACCCATTGGTGTTAATGTTCTCTTTGTATTCTTGTATCATTATCTGTGGTGTCTAGGGTCCAGAGGGGGACCAGGCCGTGGAGTTGGGGAAGACGCACCCAGACATGTACGTCCTCAAGCCTCAGAGAGAAGGGGGAGGTAAGTCTCCTGTCTCATATATTTGACAGTGTCCAAATGCCATGCTATTCATATTTCAGAGGAATCTATCGTTTAATATAAATTATGTACATTGTTATTTATGACTGCTGAAAACAAACAGAATGGATGTGTTGTGTGCCAAGATACCCCCTCATACCACCCACCGGTATGTTAGGTTGTACTCATGAATAATGTGAGAAATGTTATTGTCTTGATAAGATTCAGACAAATGATGATGCCTAACGTTTCTAGAAGAATGATGATAATATTCAACTTCTGTGTTCTGTGAAAGGCGACGTTTCGACATAGATTCTAATGTCGTTGTCAAGCAAGTGATGACATTAGAATCTATGTCGAAACGTCTCCTTTCACAGAATACAGAAGTTGTATTTCGATGACCTTTCACAAAATAAAGAAGTTGTATATTCATAAAATTATCATCATTCTTCATCACCTTAACTTCTAAATTGCCCATCAAAGAAGCCTAACGTTTCTGTGTGTGATATGTCTTCTTTCTCCTGTCAGGACACAACCTGTATGGAGACGACATCAGAGAATTCCTGGAGACACACAAGGATTCTAAAGAGAGGAATGCTTACATCCTGATGGAGAGGATATTCCCAAAGGCACAAAAGAACTATCTCGTCACACCTGGCAGACCTTTACTCCTATCTGAAGTGACCAGCGAACTGGGGATATTTGGAGTGTATATTGGGTTGGTATGGTTTTTCGAATCATTGATGCCTTTCTGTTGAATTAACCAATGGATGTGTATTTTTATGTTACACTTTAGCTTCAGATTCTTAGTTAAGTACAAATTCTATTACTTTTGGGCGGTTGAGTTGCTTCGAGTGTTCGAACCCACAATCTCAGAGTAAGGCAACTCGTAGTCTGGATATAGTCTGTGTAATCCTCTGCCAAGTGAAAATTAATTCTACGTTTGGCGAAATCTATGAACATACAGTGCATATCAGAAAGTGGCCAAATGTAACATACGATAGATTTGGGAGTATAATTTGTTAAATTCTAAAAATTGGGCCCATCGAGGATCTGAGCCCACACTCTCAAAGTAACTCACATAATCGCCAGGGCAAGTGGCGAACCTAATCGACTGAAGCACCAAGGCTTCCACAAAAAGTAGACGTCCGATGCCTTGAGAATGTAGTCAATGTATCATGTGTTACATTTAGGAGAACAAAAAAGAAACCCCTAGAACTTACACTTTACTAAGAAACTGTAACCCTGAATACAACAAATGCCACATGTGACCACCGACATGATGTAGTCATACATTGTTTTGTTGAATCCTCGACGCCAGGGACACCCTTTCTGCTGGCCGATGCTGTCAGTATTGAAAGTCATCAGTTAAATGTTGGAGATAAACATGCGCCTTCAAGTATCTACATTGTCTGTTGTGACGTGTGTCGTTGGTAGGATTGAAGTACGTTCATACAGTCTGATGTCATCAGTGTAGAACAGGTGTGTTATAAGTAAGGGTAAATAAAGAGGCATTAATTACGGTAAGATGATTTACTTATGTTGAGTGTCTCATGGTACACCATATGGTGGATATGATGAAGATGTGTTAATGCGGTTAATATATTTGTTGTGTATGTTCTTTAGGTACGTGTGTCGCTACCAAAAGAACAAGACATGACTGACCATTCGCGAAAGCCTAGTGATCCGTTCAAACATGTTGCTTTGATCAGAAAAATTGCGTTGATCGCCCGATAGGGTCTGTTTCGGCACACGTTCGAGATTGGTAATACTTTAGCGTTGACATTTGAATGTGGTCGTGTGATGAAATACCCATGTTTAATGTCTGCTGTGGTGCTTGGTCTGTGCGACTGTAAGCTTCTGGATCAGATGATGAATTTTATTTGCTCTGATCTGATAATGAAATTGTGGCTAAGATGAATTCAGTTCAAGTTTTATGGTAGTTTTGTGTTGTGTCAGAATGTGTCTTTTATTGATATGCTGATACACGTTTGGTTTGATGTGATGAAATGAATTTGGTGATGAAATACTTAAGATGGTAAACTAATTATGAATTGTGATGAAATACTTAAGATGTTAAACTAATTATGAATTGTGATGAAATACTTAAGATGGTAAACTAATGATGAATTGTGATGAAATACTTAAGATGGTAAACTAATGATGAATTGTGATGAAATACTTAAGATGGTAAACTAATGATGAATTGTGATGAAATACTTAAGATTGTAAACTAATGATAAACTGTGATGAAATACTTAAGATGGTAAACTAATGATGAATTGTGATGAATAGTAATGGTGATGCTGTCCCGAATGACATTAATAAGGGTCCACGTGTTTTGATGCGATCAAGTTCATCTTTATTCTGAGGTATCCGTGTTCAGTGGATCTTATGGTTTCTGTTTTGTCAGGTCAGCCACTGAAGAGAAGATGAACATGCAGTGTGGCCACATGGTAAAGACAAAGCTTTTTGGAAAAGACGAAGGTGGAATCTCTACTGGACATGCGTGTCTTGATACACCATTCCTCATCAACGAAGATCAAACTTGATAAAACGCGGGAGCAAATGATGAAACTGCCTCCCTGACTCACGTTGTGTTCGAACCAAAAACAAGATAGAAAGTTTGTGTTAGCTCACCTTTTTAAAAAATAACAGGTTTTCGGGAAAAGATAAGCGTATCCTGAACCAGCGGTGCATCCATTTCCAACTGAAGGCAAACGCAACTCAATTGTTTACATGAAAAATACACTAATTGGAACTGTTGGGACTATTCCAAATAAAAAGGAATTGTTACAGGCATCAAATTTAGAAATTTCCTCGGCGGGTGTATCAAAATAATTGTCAAATGTTTGCTTGACCTTGAATTTTGAAATCTTAATCAAACAACCTTTTAGCACGTGTGGTATCTTTGGAGAAAGGGCAAATGTCTAAAGACGTTTGAAAAGTGGACACAAACTGCAACATTTTGTGGAATGATATTTTACTTGATTCCACAGCAAGGAAGGGGATTAATATTGGTGGAAAAAAGAACTGCAAGCTGAGACATGTTAATGTCCTTTTTCTGGCGCATGCTAGCTAGTGAATCTATACACATGCTAGCTAGTGAATCTATACACATGCTAGCTAGTGAATCTATACACATGCTAGCTAGTGAATCTATACACATGATTCATACGTTTCATGCCTATGACGTCTGTTGACATCTGTCTGGATGCGTTTGGCTTGTTTTTCACTTCTTTTCACACGACGCTTTTTCATGTAATAAATTATGGCTTTGATACGAAGCACAAGGAGCCACCAGATGATTTCACCTCCAGCAGATATTTCTTCATACCGATGGCCTTGTTTCTTCTCATCGAATGACGTGGGCTGATACAAGTGTGTTTCCCCTTCACTTCATCCGTTCATCCTGAGCAGCAGCCCGTGACGACAGTGTTACCATTGTATTGACGACGTCAGTGTGCATGGGTAAATTTCAATTCAAGCTAGGAAGGTGCAGTCGGTGCATTTATCCATTCATGTAGTGCACCTTTATGACACCAATTATTATATGGAAGGGATCGCTTCTTATTATTTACTGATGCCAGGTAGGTATAATTCGGATACTTACGTCTCTAAACAGTACGAGTGACCTAAATACAGCACCTTAATCTGTTTATATCCATATGAAAACTCTGCTAAAATCAAAGTAGATGGGGCGATTGATACTATATCATGACCATGTGTTTTTGAATCACTATTAATAGTGACTATAGAAGGCGTTCGAGAAAAAATGAGCGTATCCTACCAAGCCTGTGTCACCCGTTCTATAGAGGGGCTTTCGTCCACACTGGCTTATGCCCGCACACCTCTATACAAATGAGAAGATACGTATTTACCGGAGGTAATTGTCAAATTCGGAAATGTCACAGGTTAGAGCGAGGTTGTTTATTAATTACAGTACTAGTGGTATCTGTCTGTTATGGACTTTCCTGGGACCGACATTTTTTCCGGATTATTAGTCATCTTTGGTCCGTTACCGGAGACACTGCGTCTTATCACATTAGATAATGTGTGTTTAAAGAATTAATTAACCATTGAGAACAGAAGTAACGGAGATGTTTATTGAACGGACTGTTATTTTAGTCAGCTATGTCCGGATTACAAAGCATTGTTCTCATAGCAAATTAATTATCGGGGCTGTTAGTTAAGTCCGTAATCAATATTTGAGAGAGTCCGGATTATAAAGCAAGCTTTAATGATAAATTAAGAACAATTTCGCTGGGAGTCAGAGAGTAGTTCGGATTATGGAGAAAACCGGTTTACAAAGAGTCCGGATTTGACAGATTCCACTGTATATAAGTAACCGTCTTTGCACCGTATGAACAGAGATGACAAAGCAGTTAAGGAAAATGTATAATGCGAAAGTTAAATCTTAGTATTCCGCGGGTACCCATTTTGGTAGTGCGCACGTTTTCTGCAGCTCTGCCATCGCTCAATCTTGTGTTTTTGCCTCAACGTCGCCATTGTTCTGCTAACAAACAACCGTTCACATTATTCTCACTTCACCTAAATGTACATTGTTGTATTTTAGTTCACGCTCTTTCAATACAAATATCATACTTTGCTGTACATATTCTATAAGGCACAAATTCTGTTGAGCAGTGACGCTGAACTTGGTTTCTCCGAAGTCCGCGCACGCTTCATAAATAGGAGGGGATGAGTAGGTGTTTACATGTCCAGTGACTGGCAAGTCATGCTTGATCGGACCCGTGAAGGTCCGAATTGATCTTAGAATTGATCTTTAGTGACCCGTGCTTGTCGTAAAAGGCGACTAACGGGATCGGGTGGTCAGGCTCGCTGACTTGGTTGACAGGTTCACATATGTCATCGGTTCCAAATTGCGCAGATCGATACTCATGCCTTTGGTCACTGGACTGTCTGGTCCAGACTCGATTATTTGCAGACCGCCGCCATATAGCTGGAATATTGCTGAGTGCAGTGTAAAACTCACTCACTCACTCACTTACTCATGCGTGATCTCACCTACTACTGTTTGTTTGATGATCGTCACTGAAGCCTCGACCTGGAAACTTAGATGCAGATTGTGTACGATAGTTTCTGTTTTCTGTACGTTTTGGTGTTTTTGGTTATGTATGTTTATTGTACATTTATTCATATATATCTATTAATTAAATTGACCGGGCCAAGTGCATGTGTATTTTCTTTGTAAAGTGGACTAGGTTATTCTTGCTTTCACTCATTTACAAAGAGGTAATGTCTGGCAAGCGCCTGTGTGTCTGTATAGTAGGCTAACATAGTCTTACTTACATCATTTACTCGCTCAACGAATGATTTTCAGTACTAGTGTCCCTCAATTCTGTAAGTAATTATGGGATCACTAAGTGCATTTATATTCAAGTGGTGATAGTTGATCGTTTTAATGTCCTGTATATGATTTACAATTAGGTCCTAATTTCTCCGACAATTAATTGTCACTGGCTTGATCATTGCCTATCTGTGTGTTTCTGTAGAGCGGGCGGTATATATGTCATTTGTTACCTTCGTGTTCAGTTTGAGCGATTCTAATTTCCCTAACTGGTTCATCAATCAGAGGTGTGTTTTGAGGTGTAGTTGACACTGTTGTTCCACTTGACTGATTATGTTTTATCTTAATAAACTGGGTTGACCACATCCCTTTTACTTTGTACTTGTAGGTATTTTCCACTAGTGTCCTGGTAAAGGTAGTTGTCACAGTGACAATGACTCACAATGTGTGTTGACAGAAGGTTATAATTGGTGAGTATCTTTGATCCACATGTTGCCTCACAGAAGAGAAGCGACAAACATACTGTCGGGCATTTTTTAAATTGATTATAAAGTCGGGGACTTTAGCCGGAATCAGAAGAAAACAGTACGTCCACCCTTACTTCACCTGGGCGGGAGAATATAAGTTGTAAAATGTCTTAAGAGACCTTTCTGGCAAGACTTAATTTTTTATGAATGTCACACTCACATAAATCGAACAGAAGGCGATGATTTTATTAATGCATCTCTTTATGGATGAGTCTAGCTTGGAGACACCTCAGAAAGAATAGCCTAAATGCGACATTTATGCTGCAGTAATTGACCTAAAACATTTTTTCAACCCAATTTTGACAAGACACCTGAAGCCACAGGTTTTTCCTGTATCAAAATGATTTATGTGCATTAAATCTCTAAACTACATAAATATTCAGTTTAAACATAAACAATACATAATGTTTCCTTATTTACTTTCCTGTCTTCAGGCTATCGAGGACATTTCCTATCGACATCAACGTTTACTTGACATTACGGAATTACATAATGTTCGTATAACTGGCTAGTATGACATTGTCTTCTGTTGGCTGCTCAGCTATGTTGAAAATGTTGCTAACACAATGGCTGTTGCAGCTAAAACAGCACCATGTCTTATCCCATCCGGTGATTATAAAGTTATATAAACATGTGCTGAGATATTATATCAGAAGTCTATTGCAACAGGTAGATATAAATACATTACATGCAATAAAACCAGCCGTCGGTTACACCCACATGGGTCGTCAATACAGACTTGAAGGGGTTGGTATGCGGCGATATATTGGCCATTTACTTTATATACATGAGTATCTACTGAAAGATGAGGATCTGCATCCCTTGTTGAAAGAAACACGTTGAAGTAGGCCTGCTCAGGGATTTGTACGGCCAACAGGTGCAGCTCCGCACTATGAATATCTGTGTCACTTCCTTTTGGTTTCATTCTCAATCCCTACAAGGCGCTGCAGGTAACCTTTGTAACGCATATACATAACCTTGTAAACAGTGTTTTCCTGTATAAAGGGGTGAATACAAGTTTATCTTACCTTCATGTAAGATCAATGACGCTTTAACAAGTTTCCGTGTCACCCCTTCCAGGAGGGTGACAACTGAAAAAAATATTACCCGCTGCCACGGTAACCACCAAACTCTCCGTGGAGAGGCTGTATATCTAACAATCGCATGACGTCATAATATGACGCATGCAGTGTACAGAGTTCGAAAACCGTTCGATTAATTCTCCCTGCATCATTAAGTGTCTTAAACAATAAGCTCGATAAGGAATTCTATTGTTATCCATCATAATCAATTTACACCAGTATGTAACCGGTTTTAACATGTAATTATACTGAAAGGGAACTCTGCCACATTCACCCAATGCCATAACATTACATGTATATTTAATCAGCCTCAATACCATCTAACATAACTGTTTGTACTTTTCAACAGTTTGTGAATAATGAACACCCCATATCTCTGCTCCATAGGTAACTATAGGTAAAACCATTGTGTCAAAAATACATCACTACAAGAGACTTATCCATATATAAGTTGATAACCATAGAATGACATTAAAGCTTTATTTGCCTGAGATGCTAAACAACTCCGTGCCCTAGTCCATGATAGGTAGGAGTAAATAGAACACCAAAATATCTATAATTATTGACAAGCTCTATTATGTTACCCTCAAAGTACCATTTTTCATTGGATCTAAAAGGTCAACCTCTACGAAACACCATGATTGTAGTTTTGCTTATGTATATTTTCATTCCTGATTCATCACAAAACCTTTCCAGAACATTTATCTTACTTTAGAGCTGAACAGCAGTATCACTTATACCAGAAATATCATCCGCAAAATTAATGCAACAGCATTTCGACAATCTTATTCCATTTCCATGTTTCTCATCAAGCATTAATGATAACCGATGTATGAAAATGATGAATATTATAGGACTCAAAATACAAATTACACTGGAAAAACTCCATTGGGTGAAAGAGCTGAATACATTGAAATAAAAAATTGAAAAACATCTTTGATCAACAGTTGAATAATGTAGCATGAAACCAGCCTGTAACTCTGAAATAAAACTTCTCTTATCACACCAAGTTCTTAACCTCTTATCTAAAACGACAGCAAGAGTTTTACATAAGGTATCTCTCATTGAAATCCCTCTATAATTATCAACACTCATTTTATCTCCAGAGTATGTAAAGGACAGGTAATGCCTTTACCCCCACTGAGCTGGACATATACCACTATCGAACAAACTATTGTTAACTTTTGTCAAAAAAGGAATAATATAATATTTTGTGCTTTTCAAAAGTATGGTATGCCATCCTCCCCCGGTGATTTATGATTTGACAAACTCAACTCAATTTCAGCCTCAGTGAAAGGAATGTTTAGTTCTTCCGCAACATCAACATCAATATCTTCACCGAAATCAAAACATAAAGTATCCTGTTTAAAACCAAAATGAGAAAACTTATCTATCAGAGAAATACCATCATCAGTATTATCAACAGCATATATTTAACAGTTTCTCAAAGTGATTGAACCACTGATCTGCACTGATTTCCTTTGGCAAGTTTATCTCAATTCTATACCTCTTTAGAATCTTCCAGAATGTTTTAGTGTCATTTCTAGATTCCATAAGTAATGACCTCTGTGATAAACTTCTCTTTTCACTGAAAATAGAGAAAATTCATTCCTTAAAGGTCACATGCAACCAAAAAATCAAACATAATTAAAACACAATTATCACTTCTTCATGACATATAATATGCATTGCTGATTATGAAAAAACAAATAAACAAAATTATAAGCGTATAATCGCAAATCAAAAGTGCAATATTTTGTACTTGGGTTTACCTCCCTCGAAACGAAGCAGCCGGGATACCGAACCCAGTCAGAACGGGAGGGTGTGCACTCAAGTGTAACGGCTGGTTCATTTACAGATGCCGCCCTCATGCACGGCTCATTGTGTGTGTACATATAGAGATGTTGGGTTTTGTAAAAACATGCTCATTTTTTGTGTATAACATTTTGCAATCAACAGACATCATAACATGCCATGTGTTCAAATATCATACCTGCCTGTCTGTGTAATTACATAATGTGACAGAGACCGAACTCGGGCCATAAATCAATGCGTTTTGTTTATGGTGTATAGCCTGATTGGTGTTAAGTTCAAATTGCATGTGGTCAGTGATAGCAGCTGTGTATTGAATATTGTCATTAGCAGACAGGCAGGCAGACACACAGGTGTCAATAAAACAAGACATTGAGTTTTGTCTGTGACAACGACATATCTCTATCACAGTTAGAAATTCTGTCAACGCTAAATAATGACATTGCTTTTAAGTATCGCACTGAGAAAGTGTCTAGGTAAGAAGAACGTATGGTGAAATAGACAAATGAAATTATATAAACAGTTAATTTACTGTCATAACATATAAAAAGCTCGCGCCTATGAGATATCAACAAAACATTAGAAAAATAGCTCACACCAAAGCCTTCACCGAGTATTCACCCGACAATCCGCTTCCAAGCTGCGCGAACCTATTTACTTGCGCACGTGCTATGAGCGCAGCCCAGCTGTTGAAACCCGTTTTCCCCAGAAAAGTCTGGGGAAAATTAGTGAAACGTTTGAACTCCGATTTCGCGCGTTTTTTTTCATCGCGTTTTTTTTCAACTTTATAAGTTGAATTTGCATTTTTGACGATTTGTTTCGGTATGTCCATACCGAAAGGTATCAGAATCTGCAAAGTTGTGTTTTACGTTGCATGTGACCTTTAAGCTTCTATACCGGACTGCCGGCATCTATTCAGTGTCAAGTAGTTTTGAAACTTAAGTTCTCTAATTCGTCGTCCCATCATGGTCTGTTTACAAGTCTGTTAGACTAGAAAGTGTCCCCATGAATTGCTGTATATATCAGTTTAGAAAGGTTGTTAATAAATGTTCATGAATAACTATACCCAAACACCTTTTCAGCTATTAGAAATTGTCATGCATCACAGAAAAAGTGATCATCATTATAAACATGATTGTTGACAGTTGGCGAGGAGGGGGGCACGGCAGCAACGGGAATAGACAGGGGCGGAGGGGAGCGTCTCAAAAATCTATTCTGAATGATCTGTGACTTCGTCATCAGTGGCATCACAGTCAGAGCTGATGGAAATAACAAGCGGTGCGACAGTTGCCTGTTGGAGACCATCACGAGACCAGTAATCTGCTTCAGTGTCACTGACAAACTTAGTTACACAGTGTTGCCACATGTCAACAGTGATTTTACCCAGCGAGTCGGTCACCAAGGCCTCAACGTCACGTAATTTAAACGTGGGATTTGATGTCACAATGATATGGTGGTAGCCGCAATATTTCATGACCTTTACTCTTAATGTAAGTGTCTACTTTGTATACGGGGTCGTGTTTGTGGGTTTTCATGATTTCGTACAGCTGAGGCTTTGTCGCTTTCGACGGATACAGGATGTTGAATTTTTGAAGCCAAGCAATCATATCGCCCTTACGATTGTTAGACGTCGGAGTTTTGCTGTTTGGATCCTGCACGCTGTGGTATGGCGCATAGTCCATGACTATAAGGGACTTATTTGGCAAAGCTTGAACTCACTTATTTTGCACCCACTCGAAGAAAACGTCTCCATTCATCTCTGTATGGTAGTCCCTATTGTCTTTGGTCTTGGCTCTGAACACCAGATCACAACCAGGCAGGAAGCCCTGGCTGGTGCATCCAGCATGGAGAATAATAAATCTTTCCCCCTTCCTCAGCGGCTGTTTCCTCCGTGATCCCTTATTCCCATCGGGTTTCCCATTGACTGCTGGCGGTATGAGACGCATTTATCCAAGTCTCGTCAGGATACACCGGCTCATGCCCCGCATCACGTTTTTTTTCTGGATAGTCATGAGAAAATGATTTCTCAAACGTACGATATCTGATCGTTCGCACAATGCTCTCCTGTTCTCTCCTGCTATTTTGTTTGTACATATACCCGAAATAATGTAAGAGTCGCCTTAGTGTGTATTTCGTTACTGACAAATTGTTTTGGTTTTCAAGGTGTTTCTGTAATACTTTTAATGACATGTATTTGTTTTCTGAGTACAGTTTAGTGATTGCCTGTCTGACCTGGTTCTTCTGGAAGTTGTCTAATTTATTAACCTTTGATGCTGTTGACATGCCCCCTACATGCGTTGTGTCGACAACACTGTCTCTCTTCCGTATTATATGTTTCAATGTCCGTGAAGAAACTCCCAATGCCTTGGAAGCACTTTTCTTATACCTATCGATGGCATAAAACGGCCTCCCCCTTTCCGCCTCAGCGCGAAAGAAATCATACACTTTAATTATCAACTTTTTTGCCTGTACAGTGAACTTCATTTCGTGCATCAGATGCACCTGTCTATTCCAGCTGCTGCCGTAGGCCCCTCCGCGCCAACTGTCAGCAATCATATTTATAATAATGATAGTTTGTTAAACAACTTTTTCTGTGATGCACGGCAATTTCTAATAGCTCAACAGGTGTTTGGGTATAGGTTATTCATGAACATCTTGCCTCGTAATATTTATAAACTAATTTCTAAACTGCTGGATATATTTAGCAATTCGTGGAGTTTTACAAAATCCCCAAAATTCTAATAAGAAGTGATATATGTGTGTGTGTGTGTGTGTGTGTGTGAAACCTTCACTGTGAATGTAACTGTGTGATTTTAACCATAGAGATAACCAAAAACTTATAAATAAAATTTATTTTTATTACCCAATATACCGGTTCTGCGAAAAATTATTGCAATATGTATCGTTTAAAAGGTGTGTGTGTGTGTGATAGTATTTACCTGTGCATAGTTTGATGATGTGCCATACAAAAGTGTGTAGCTGACACACTGAAAAGCGATGTGAAAACTGTGTGTGAATAGTGATGTGTACGTTGTCACACACAATTACATGCGTCATCACGTAAGAAAGTATGGCTGTACGCTGCATATATATATATTATAATGTATATATATGCATCGATGCATTTTGTGATATATATGTGTGTGTGTGTGTGTACATATAAGATGGCTACGCTGCTCTGTATAGCGTCGATGTGGGCCAAGTACATATAAACTACCGGGAAAAATTATGTTATCACCGACTTCACAAAACTTATAAATAGAAACAAAGACGTATGTCAGTTTGATGATAATTATTTTACTGACAGAAATCAATTTTCAACAGTTTGACTTAAAATTCACTGTTATACTGGTCTTGCATTTGCCGCATTTCGTTAAGAGGTCATAATTAAAAATGACAGAAATGAATTCAAAAAGTGCATAAAGAGTCACTTAATGATAATGAGACAGGAGTCAGGGGACACGTCAATAAGTAGCGAATGTGATCACCCTGGGCATCCATACACGCCAACACACGTCTGTCTCCTCATTGACGTCGTCAGTCGGCGAATGACGTCTAACCCCCAGAAACACCATATCGCACATGTGGCACACCGTTATGACATGTACATCTCAAACCTCTGACAACGCCCTCGACAAGACGTGTGGATTCGAACAACTCTTCCACATTTGTAGAATTTACCTCAAACAAAATACCCACTTGAACCTAGTGCCTCTAGTGCCTTTATTGAGTCAAGATACATATCGACAAAATGATATTTTTAACGCATATAGGAAGTATGGCAAAATGCCTGAAACGATTGACAATTAAAATTGGTAACCAATAAACCAATGTTTACCTGTTTTTGAAATGTTGATAACAATATCTTAACAGCACAAACAATATAGAAGTGCAACAGTGACTGGCTGGAACGTTTCTGAACACGATATGATTTGTTGAATATATAGGTAATAGGAATACCCACTCTTCGACAATTGCCGAATTTGTCTCAAACAGCATACCCACTTGAGCCAAGGGACTATACAGTGTCTTTATTGTGACTCGAAATAAATATCGACAAAAGGATGGTTTTAGCGTGCATGGGAAATATCACAAAATGACTGAAACAATTGACTAGCAAAAGTGGTCATTATCAAGTCTGTGAATTAATAGTTATAACAGAGATGAAAGAATACACGCGAAGGCGCTTGATCGCACACACAGACACACATAGATTCTACAGTCACAGATGAGGGTAAAACATCTGTGGTATCTGGGGGCAACAGCGAGATTCTACAGTTTCAGATCTATGTGAAACGACACACATCTTACTGTTGTTGATGGGAGCAGCCGAGAGAGTTTAGTTGCAGATCAGGGTAAAACGACATACATCTTATAACATATGTTATATTTGGGATTACACCTTCTTAGTAGAGTACAGATTCTAGTACTTCTGCTGGGTAGAGTCCCATCCGGGATTCGAACCCGCACCCTCATAGTCAGGCACCTAATCACCAGCACACAAAGTCAGCCGATTTACCCGCTCAGCCACCGTGACTTCCACCTAACAAAACTACTAGAATCTGATCTTTACTAAGAAAGTGTAATACCAAATATAACAGATGTTACATTTGACCACTTTCTAAATAGAATTGTGTAATATTGACACACATCTTACAATTGTGGTTGCTGGGGGCAACAGTGAGATTCTACAGTTACAGATCAGGGTAAAACGACATACAGCTTACATCTGTGGTTGCTGGGGGCAACATTTAGATTCTACAGTTACAGATCAGGGTAAAACGACACACATCTTACATCTGTGGTTTGCTGGGGGCAACAGTGAGATTCTACAGTTACAGATCAGGGTAAAACTACACACATCTTACATCTGTGGTTGCTGGAGGCAACAGTGAGATTCTACAGTTACAATGCGAGTCTACAGTTACAAGTCACGGCATAACAACATACAGACTCCATTCGTAGTAGATGACGACGTCAGTGTGTGCGGTTGTTGTGAGTAGTTGACACTGGGATGACCCACTGCTGTAGTTCACACCCACACAAGAATCCGAGTGCAAGCAGGCATGTACACAGTCAGGCAGTGTGGTTTCCATGGAAACGATGCCACTTTCCTGGCTGCTCTTCTTTCCTACCAGACGTTGGAAGGTCATTCCTGTAAATCAGATGGTATACTTGGCTCCAGTGTGCAAAATAGTTTCCAGATTTTGCTATCCAGACGGGATATCTATGCCTGAAAGTTACTAGCACACACAATAATTCACTAGCTCGAAATCCAGAAACTAAGCAAAAGATTACAAAAATAGATGAGAATATGATATTGTTGGCATGACACGGGTTTCGTCATTAAGCTTCCAATATGATGAACATTTTATCAGGCCATGTTTTAAAAGTGTGTTATAACTTAACAAGTCGCAGAAGATGACCCATAAAAATCCACTAGCCAGTCGGGCCAATTTACCGGCCCGACTGGATTTTTACATGCCACGGGCTAGCTGGCCAGTGGCTATTTCGCACACCGTTGGCTCCAGATCAAATACTCGCTGGCTAAAGACCTTTATAAAGCTACCTATGAACATCAATGATAATCATAGGCTATTTGGTTCACATCATGACTAGCTGTCTGTATGGAAATACACTCACATGCAAAAGAAACGTCCCCAAGTATTTTTCAACTACCAAACAACACAAGCACAAATAGATCTATGAACGTTTAATATGCATGACGAAGGTGTATGAAAAGCATGTCTGACATAAAGAAAGAGGACGTGGTAAACCTAACAGTGGTACAGGGAATGTTGTCATATGGGGGTCGATTGTCCAGTATTCGAGCGCAAGCCAAAACAACAAATGACAAAACAGTGGTTGAAATGGGAAGGCAGATCGTCAATACCGCGCATGTCCACCCCTTACATCGGTACACCTCAGAACACGTCGTCGGGCCGAGTGTGTAAGTCTCCTGATCACGTGACTGGGGATCCGACGCAAATCTGTCTGTAATGCCTGAGCCAGTGCATTTCTCGTCAATGGAGGGAGTGGAAGCTGTAGAATCCGACGTCCAAGAAGGCCCAACAAGTGCTCTGCCATGTCAGGGGATTTTCGTGGCCAAGGCTTGGCGGGCACGTTGTTGACGTTGAGAAAGGCCGTTGTGACAAAAGCGGTGTGAGGTGTTCTACTGTCTTGTTGAAACAAGATTCCTGGATATTGCTGGAGGAAAGGCAGGATATGGGGCCGCAGAACTTCATCAATATACCGACGGGCTGTCAGGCTGCCATTGATGATAACAAGGTCGGTATTGGTGTTCCCACATGCCACCCCACCCCGTCACACTCCCTCTACGATATGCTTCCGTTTCCTAAACGCAACAACGTGCCGTCCGTTCCCCACGCCGGTGGTAGACACGTCTTCGCTCGTCAGTTCTGTTCAAATGGAACCTACTCTCGACGCTAAAAAAGAACCCGTTGCTGGTTCCGTTGCTGCCACTGACAAACATTCATGGCCAAAACCAATCCTCGACGTCGATATTCCGGCGGTAACGTCATGCCCGTCAACGGTCTATAGGCTCCGATTTCCATGTTGACGTTGTCGTCTGGACACTGTCCACCTGCTGACGCGATGACCGACGCTAAGCGCTGATGACGTCACGGCGAGGAATCTGTTGCTTAAATGAAGCGTTCGTATATAACGGTCATCTTGTGGGGTAGTGACTTCCGGTCGACCGCTCCTCGGCCTGTCTGCTGTCCGGCCAGTTTGTCTGTAACGTGTGACCAATAAACCAATCGTTATTTTTGCACAACCCAGGATTCTTCCAACATGGTCGTGCGTTGCCCCCAGCTTCAGCATGCCAATCGGTCTTTGTCTCTTTTTTGCTGTTAATCGGGGCATGTTCTGCTGGTTTTTCAGGTGATTGTGATTCCAAAGAACAGTTTCCAACGTGTTTTATAACCGATCTCCATACGGGTGATTTCCTGCACGTGCAGGAAATTTCACTGAATAAAGTAATTTTTCCCGCTTCAGGCATGCAACACGTGCATTTCCTTGGGGTGTCATACATTTGTGTGTTTGGGCAATGTGTTCCGAACTGCTTTTCATGTTTTTGGCCATATCCAGCAAACATAGTATAATTTAAATTTTGGGGACGTTTCTCTTGCACGTGAGTGTATACTATCACCTGCCCACCAAAAAAAAAAAAAAAGAAAAGAAAAGAAAGAAAGAAACGCATAGGCGTTTTGTATTTTTAATTAATTAATTACCTATTGTGCTCAGACAATCGTCAAAATATGTAACAAAAGCGTTGATAACATGATTTTACACTATTGCACAATTCTATTCTATTCGACATCTGACGCCTGACGCCAACAACCGTTTTCAGTTCGCGCCATATCGGCTAATTTCACACCACTCGATATCTTGTAGACGGTGTGATAAACAGCACCAGCACCAAAACTGGTTGCTTGTCGTAGCGTAATAAGGTAAAGATGCAACCCTAAACCATTAGAGAATTACATCAGATTCCGTATTTAGCTTAGTAGTTTGGGTCATGACTGATAACGGTCAGGCACGGAATGGAGACAGAAAGTCTCGAGTTACAAGGACATCAATAGATAGAATACGATTGGGTCGGAGGCTACGGAAGTTAGAGACCGAACATTAGTAGGGAAATATAGAACAGAATAAGTTTACATGAGAACAATTAACAAATCAGTGGAAAGGGGTGAGTCATCGAACGGTGCTGCCAAATATTCTTCCAATACGACGGACATGAGTACAAGGTTGGATACAGTTGTTAACGAATGAAAACGATATGGACTTAATATGTCACCAAGATCAGGCAAGGTGCTTTTCCTGTTCTGCCCCTCTCTCTGGAACTCTCTCCCTATCACCATTAAATCAGCAGTTGACTTTAATTCCTTCAAACGACTGCTCAAGACTCATCTGTTTTCATTGCATTATGTGGGCGGTGGGGTAGCCTACTGGTTAAAGCGTTGGCTCGTCACGCCGAAGACCCGGGTTCGATTCCCCACATGGGCACAATGTGTTAAGCCCATTTCTGGTGTCCCCCGCCGTGATATTGCTGGAATATTGCTAAAAGCGGCGTAAAACTAAAACTCAGTCAGTCAGTCATTGCATTATGACTAATGTCTGTTTGCAGTGAAAACTTACCGATGAATGTCACTTTAACCCCAAAAGTAAAACAAATAAAGTGAAATTAAGACTGCGAATCCTCATGGTTTTAACTTTCCAATTGAACATTTAAATCTCAGAATTTTATTCGACTTAGGATAAAAGTTGTTTAACAAACGATCATAGTTTCACATGGCTATTATTGGTTTGTATTACAAGGGGGTAAGCACATCAAATGAAACATCGAAAACGACAAGGGTTGTTATAAGTTAACGCTCTTCACGTACCGCACGTGCATTTGTTTCACTGTTCCATCTACTGCGCTTACCCCTTTGTAATACAAACACGTAATAGCGATTTGAATCTATGATCGTTTGTTAAACAACTTTTATCCTCATTTGAATAAAATTTTGAGATTTAAATGTTCAACTGGCAAGGTAAAATCATGAGTATTCGCAATCTTAATTACACTTTATTTGATTTACTTTTTTGTTTAAAGTGAAATTCATCGGTACGTTTTCACGAGAAGTGGTGCTGTATTCTAAAGGTGCTCCTTTTCATTTCGAAACATGCATGCTTCTAAGTTCAGTTTTAAATATTTACGTAAGGCTGACAAATGGTCACACAGAACTCTGGTAGTCCTGCTATATTGCACAAATTCACTCACTTCACCTTCATCGCCCATGACGTCATCCATCTTACCCACTCACTCACTCACCCACTTTACCCACTCACCCACCTTACCCACCCACTCACTCACCTTACCCACTCACTCACTCACCCACCTTACCCACCCACTCACTCACCTTACCCACTCACTCACTCACCCACCTTACCCACCCACTCACTCACCTTACCCACTCACTCACCCACCCACCTTACCCACCCACTCACTCACTCACTACCCCCGTTCCTTACTAATTCACTCACTCTCTCTCCCACCTTACCCACTCACTCACTCACACGCTACATCTCTCTTACTAATTCACTTAATCTCTCTCACGCACTCACTATCTCCCTTCTTTACAAATTCACTAACTCACTCTCACTGACTCACCTACTTTAAACACTCATTCACACTCATACCCACCTTATCCCCTCATTCACCTTACCACTCACTCGACCACTACATTCCTCTCTTACTAATTCACCCTCTACCACTCTCTCTCGGGGCGGTGGGGTAGCCTAGTGGCTAAAGCGTTGGCTCGTCACGCCGAAGACCCGGGTTCGAATCCCCACATGGGTACATTGTGTGAAGCCCATTTCTGGTGTCCCTCGCCGTGATATTGCTGGAATATTGCTAAAAGCGGCGTAAAACCAAACTCAGTCAGCCCTCTCTCACTCACTCACCCACCCACCTTACCCACCCACCTAACCCACTCACAAACCTTATCCACTCACTCACCCACTACCTCCCTTACTAATTCATTCAATCTCTCTCACTCACACACCTTACTCACTCACTCACCTTATTCTCTCATCCTTACTATCTCCCTCCCTTCGTTACTAAGTCACCCACTCACTCACACACCAACTTACGTGATCTGTTAAGTACCATGACTTCCACTTCACAAAGAGTGAGAAGGTCGTGGCTTTCCGTCGCTGGCTTGCTAATGTTTACGTAACGTCCCAGCGTGAGATTAGCACAGGTCACGGTGACATTGGCACCATCGGCAGCTGCCCCCGGATATTGTCCGCAAACAGTGGGCGTGGCACTCTTGTCCTTCATCACAGTAACAGTGAAGTCATGTAGACGGTAACCTGTAACACACTTAGATGATAAGAAAGGGAAAATATGCAGTAGTTATATGAAATCACACACACACACACACACACGCACACACACACACACACACACACACACACACTCACACTCACACACACTCACACATACGTGACGAGTCGAACATCTAAGTAATAGCTAGAGTTGCGACCCCCTCGTCTGTGAATACTGAACATCACCCTGTCGCTCTCTTTTTTTGTCATTGCGCTTAACTATACAATGTCATTAGTACTGGCATTTTGAAGCGATTTGAAGTTACATTGCCGAATACAATATGTAGAGGAATGTATATATTGTATGGTTATTAAAATGTTTTAACTGCGTACCACACACGATATTATTCGGGTTCCCATGACACACTACTCAGTCTATATACCCTCTGCACAGACGCTCTACGTGCTGTCTACATAGACCGCCTATTTCGGGTACCACACATCTCAGTCAATATACCGTCTACATAGACCGCTTATTCCGGGTACCACACATCTCAGTCAATATACCGTCTACATAGACCTGTTATTCCGGGTATCACACATCTCAGTCAATATATCGTCTACATAGACCGCTTATTCCGGGTACCACACATCTCAGTCAATATACCGTCTACATTGACCGCTTATTCCGGGTACCACACATCTCAGTCAATATACCGTCTACATAGACCGCTTATTCCGGGTACCACACATCTCAGTCAATATACCGTCTACATAGACCGCTTATTCCGGGTACCACACATCTCAATCAATATACCGTCTACATTGACCGCTTATTCCGGGTACCACACATCTCAGTCAATATACCGTCTACATAGACCGCTTACTCAGGGTACCACACATCTCAGTCAATATACCGTCTACATAGACTGCTTACTCAGGGTACCACACATCTCAGTCAATATACCGTCTACATACACCGCTTATTCCAGGGTACCACACGTCTCAGTCAATATACCGTCTACATAGACCGCTTATTCCGGGTACCACACATCTCAGTCAATATACCGTCTACATAGACCGCTAATTCCGGGTACCACATATCTCAGTCAATATACCGTCTACATAGACCAGACTGCTCAGTGTATATATACTGGTCTATATATAATGCATCTTCTAAACAAGAAAAGTATAACAAACCCAGTATTGAGAACTGGTTATTTCGTGGCAGAATGGTAATAAATCAAGAGATATAGAACATTTTAACGGGGAGTAACAGAATCCAAAAAAAACCCTTAAAGTATTAGTTAACGGTGAATCACCGATGGGTATTTTACAGTAATTCCCCGATCACGAGGTACGACATGAGACCATGGAATGATGTAACTTTAAACGAATCAGAAATGTGTATCGGGACATGTGACAAGGGCTCGAACACCTTAAAAAGACACTGTCAACACGAGCAAAACCGTGCAGGTTTCACAGTCGGCTGAACGTTCACATCGCGATTGTTGCAGTTCCATATTTGGTAAAGGGTTTGCCCTGTCCTGTCCAGTCCGAGTCACCTTGTAATGAAGAGTGAGTGAGTGAGTTTAGTTTTACGCCGCGCTCAGCAATATTCCAGCTATATGGCGGTGGTCTGTAAATAATCGAGTCTGGATCAGACAATCCAGGGATCAACATCATGAGCATCATCTACGCAATTGGGATACGATGACATGTGTCTGTAATGAAGTGAGAGGGATTGAGTTAACCCATGTGAGTATAGAACATGGTGTTGATTTCATCATTGTATGAATGTGTGCAAGTACATGAATATAATGTGGTTTGTTAGGAGTCACGGCCGTCTGACTCCTCACTCCTTGACTTAGCATCCTGCAACGGATCAAGCGAGTGTACAGCTTGATCTCACATCTCCAATGACAACGTGGAGCGGCCATATAAGTAGGTAACTGTTGTATGGTCTACTGACGCCCAGTCGGCTCGGATATGAAGAAAGAAGTGGTCGAATATTGGGGTAGGCTGTCACTCGATTTCCTACAAACTTTGATCGGTAGTGTACCTAGGCGCATTCAGTCGTGCATTGCAGGGCAAGGAGGTCTCACAAAGTACTAAAAATACACTTAAACTGTAAGAGAAATCAATCATATCTCAACATATTCATTTAACTAAAACTTCTATCGTTTATATATACTGAGTCAAAAAAGAAACTTCACATTCTTTCTTCAGGGCACTATAAAAGAACAAGAGATGGTAAGATGGTTAAATTGTTATTATTTCATTGCTGAGATCTGTGTGATGTACTCGATACACTGACAGTGCCATAATCAGTTCCATTAGGCTACACCGCCGTTCCAAAACATGGGTATACAGAATGTCAAGTCACAAGAATAAAAATGCGAAATTTCTCAGTTCAATATCGTGTATGGCCGCCCTGCGCATTCACCACTGCCAAACACCGTCTCCTCATCGACTGCCTGATACTTGTGAACACGTGGTTGGGGATTCTGCGCCATTGCTCTTGCAAGGCAGCGCCAAGTTCCTGCAAGTTCTGAGGTTGGTTCCTAAGACCACGAAGCCTTCTCCCAAGTGCATCCCAAACGTGCTCTATTGGATTAAGGTCAGGGGAACTCGATGGCCAGTCCATGACGTTGATTTTAGCGTTTTGAAGGAAATTTCGTGTCAACATCGCGGTATGCGGCCGAGCATTTTCATGCTGGAACTGTAGACCTGGGCCATGAGCCGCCATGAAAGGAACGAGTTCAGGGGTGAGCACCTGGTCGCGGTAAGCAGCAGCTGTGAGGTTTCCACGAATGACCAGAAGTCGGGAACGGTTGTTCCCACAGAAAGCACCCCACACCATGCAACTTCCGCCCCCGAATCTGTCGACTTCCTGTACACAACATTGGGCATACTGTTCACGACGTCGTCTCCAGACTCTATGCCTGCCGTCCGCGAATCTGAGGGTTAACCTGGATTCATCGCTAAAGACGACTCGATTCCAGTCTCTCTGGGTCCAACGGAGGTGACGTTGGGCCCACAGCAGACGTTGACGTTGATGAAACGGCGTCAATATTGGCCCACGATATGGACGTCGAGAATGGAGATTGGCAGCCCGCAACCGATTTCGAATGGTCTGTGAGGACAGTCAACCTCTAAACATCTCAGCCCTGGTTCGTGTAGCCGGCAGAAATCTGTAGGACGATTTGACGGTCTTCTGCTCGTGACGTCACATGTGGACGACCCGACCTTGGGCGATCAGAAGTGGTGCCAGTTTGTTGTAGACGACCTCGCAAGTCATACACGGTACGATGGCTGCATCCCATTGCTCTTGCGACGTCAATAACTGATCTTCGTGGCATTTCAAGTACCGTTAGAACTGTGGTTTAAAAGTGTTTTTTCAATTCTTGAGGCCAATGCAAACACGTGCATATGAAGAAAACTTCGATGCGAAGATCACGTGATCGACTGCACGTGCAAAACCTGATTTGGCACTAACGTCATCTGCACGACGAATGGATGGGTTTGAGTGGGTTTTGCTAACGTTTTTCTAGAAAGATAGGGATCCCATTTCGGATACATAGATGTATCATCAGAGGAAAATTATTCATTTTTTTCCAAATTACATTTTGTGAAGTTTCTATTTTGACTCAGTATACATGTATTAGATATTTGCCGACAACTTTGTAAATAATTTCTGGGAATACTTGTTATCAGAATAAATACACTCTGCTAATGAAATGATATGTCAAAGAGTATGTGACCAAAGTATTGAAGAAATGTGACAGAAGTACTAAAGAGTGAGTGAGTGAGTTTAGTTTTACGCCGCATTCAGCAATACTCCAGCTATATGGCGGCGGTCTGTAAATAATCGAGTCTGGACCGGACAATCCAGTCATCAACAAGTACTGAAGAAATGCTATTAAATATATTTATACATGTTGTAAGAATAACAACTCTTGCTAAATTCTTTTTGTTTCGTTTCAATGGGTCATTCCATTACCTACAGAGGTACTAAGTGTTCATATGTAACATCATGACATGGGAAGCATGACTAATGGGGTAACACCATAGACCACTATCCGTGTACCACACCGCTCAGGTATCTGTGTGAGTACCAACGGTGGTCCCATATTCAGGTATCTGTGTGAATATCCCGTGTGAATTCTCCCATATTCAGGAATCTGTGTAGATACCCCCATATTCAGGTATCTGTGTAGATACCCCCATATTCAGGTATCTGTGTGGATACCCCGCCGTGTGAATACCCCCATATTCAGAGATCTGTATGAATACCCCGTGTGAATACTCCCATATTCAGGGATCTGTGTAGATACCCCGTGTGAATTCTCCCATATTCAGGTATCTGTGTGGATATCCTGTGTGAATTCCCCATATTCAGGGATCTGTGTGAATACCCCAAGTGAATACCCCCATATTCAGAGATCTGTTTGAATACCCCGTGTGAATACTCCCATATTCAGGGATCTGTGTAGATACCCCGTGTGAATACCCCCATATTCAGGGATCTGTGTAGATACCCTGTGTGGATACCCCCATATTCAGGGATCTGTGTAGATACCCCGTGTGAATACCCCCATATTCAGGGATCTGTGTAGATACCCCGTGTGAATTCTCCCATATTCAGGTATCTGTGTAGATACCCCGTGTGAATACCCCCATATTCAGGGATCTGTGTAGATACCATGTGGGAATACCCCCATATTCAAAGATCTGTGAAGATACCCCGTGTGAATACCCCAATATTCAGGGATCTGTGTAGATACCCTGTGTCAATACCCCCATATTCAGGTATCTGTGTAGATATCCCGTGTGAATTCCCCCATATTCAGGTATCTGTGTGAATACCCCATGTGAATACCCCCATATTCAGAGATCTGTGTGAATACCCCGTGTGAATAGTCCCATATTCAGGGATCTGTGTAGATACCCCGTGTGAATACCCCCATATTCAGGGATCTGTGTAGATACCCCGTGTGAATACCCCCATATTCAGGGATCTGTGTAGATACCCCGTGTGAATTCTCCCATATTCAGGGATCTGTGTAGATACCCCGTGTGAATACCCCCATATTCAGAGATCTGTGTAGATACCCCGTGTGAATACCCCCATATTCAGGGATCTGTGTAGATACCCTGTGTCAATACCCCCATATTCAGGGATCTGTGTAGATACCCCGTGTGAATACCCCCATATTCAGGGATCTGTGTCTATACCCCGTGTGAATTCTCCCATATTCAGGGATATGTGTAGATATCCCGTGTGAATACTCCCATATTCAGGGATATGTGTAGATATCCCGTGTGAATTCTCCCATATTCAGGTATCTGTGTAGATACCCCGTGTGAATACCCCCATATTCAGGGATCTGTGTAGATACCCCGTGTGAATTCTCCCATATTCAGGTATCTGTGTAGATACCCCGTGTGAATACCCCCATATTCAGGGATCTGTGTCTATACCCCGTGTGAATTCTCCCATATTCAGGTATCTGTGTAGATACCCCGTGTGAATACCCCCATATTCAGGGATCTGTGTAGATACCCCGTGTGAATACCCCCATATTCAGGTATCTGTGTGCATACCTATCTTATTTATCACACATACAAGTTCATTATAGTCTGTTTGCAGTGAAAACGTACCGATGAATTTCACTCTAAACTGACTGACTGACTGACTGAGTTTGGTTTTACGCCGCTTTTAGCAATATTCCAGCAACATCACGGCGGGGGACACCAGAAATGGGCTTCAAACATTCAAATCTCAGAATTTTATTCAACTTAGGATAAAATTTGTTTATAAAACGATCATAGTTTCAATTCGCTATTATTGGTTTGTATTACAAGGGGGTATGCACTTTAAATGCGGTAACAAGTAGGGTTGGCCTAAGTTAACGCTGATCACGTACCGCACGTGAATTTGTTTCACTGTTCCATCTACTGCGCTTACCCCCTTGTAATACAAACCAATGATAGCGATTTGAATCTATGATCGTTTGTTAAACAACTTTTATCCTAAGTTGAATAAAATTCTGTGATTTGAATGTTCAATTGGCAAGGTAACATTATGAGGATTCGCAATCTTAATTTCACTCTATTTGATTTACATTTTTGTTTAAAGTGAAATTCATCGGTACGTTTTCACTGCAAACAGACTATAAAACAAACTTATCTGTAAGATTTTATTATACAGATAATTATTTGGGTAAAAAAGAATAATGAATGATTTCTGGTGTTATTTGCACAAAATATGGTTTATGGTTGAGTTCATTCTGAGGAACAAAGGGGAACATTTCATTTCAGGTGTCTCACTCTTTGTTGCCCCAATGGACGATCATCAGTATCAAGACCCTTGGTCTATCGTGACACCAGTGATGGTACGGGGCCATAATCTTTGTTTAAAACATTCGATTTCATTCTGGGTTTGAATCCCAATACCCTATCACATGCGCTGACCATTTCTGATTTTCTCTCTTATACCGTGGGTATGAAGCTACGAGAAGAATGAAACAAGTCTCATCAACTAGAGGAGTGAACACGGTGTAGTTGTTTAGCGGTATACCATCACAATATTGTACATACATGTTCACTAAAACGCGAGTTTAGCTAAGTATGAAACAAAAAACAATGTCAAATTACCATAGTAATTTCGGTTTGTAATTCTAACAGACGTCACGTGATACTCCCGGCCAAGATCCACACTCCACCATGGCGCCTGATCGTCGATTCCCGTACATGCGCATGACTTTCCGAATAGGGGGTCATAGTTGCCATCCACCGCCTTCTCTGCTGTCGTATGCACATTGTAGACTGAGCTCTGACTGGCTGGCTTATAGCGAGCCGCATTGAACGTTGAAAAGGAGAACCCTAAAATAAGTAAAAGATGACGACAGGAATATTATGTGCCATAAACTGTGTTTTGTTTGTTGTTAAACGCCACCCTCAGCAATATTCCAGTTGTATGGCGACAGTCTGTATATAATCGAGTCTGGAGCAGACAATTTAGTCATCAACAGCATGAACATCAACCAAGTCAGCGAGCCTGGACACCAGAAACCTGAAAACCGGGGTACAGGAATGTTTGTTTGTGTTTATCTTATTTAATGCCATCAAATTACACTCACGCAGGCACTCAGGCGGGCGGGCGGGCGCACGCACGCACGGACACACACACACACCAGCGCTGGTAGATTCAGTAAGTGGCAGCGTGCTATATTTAGATTTGTACTAGAATTGGACAGAAAGCTCTGGAAAGATTTTGTATGGACATTCACTGATTGACCCACTCTTCCACGGTAGATTACTGGTGCTAAGAGGTGACTAGCACTATCATTGTCTTCATAGCTATAATTACTGCTCTTTTATCATATTGTTTTAATTTGTACTGCCACACCATGTTGTACAGGCCTAGTGATACCTTTGTATTGCACCCTTAGCTAGTTATTTCGCGGATTCGCGTTGGGTTTCAGCCTAGGAATCAACACATTCGGGTCACAAAATCGATAAATATTAAATTTCGCCTTTAAAATACGATTTATTGATTCATGTGTGCGTAATTGTCCGGTTGTTTATCAAGTCGTCATATTTCTGTGATGAACCTTCACATCTTATATATGCAAGGCACATAAAGAAACTGTGCATACAAAAATTTAATATAAAAATTTATCAAACCTGTGTAGACACATAAGGATTTAACTCAGAGATTAGTGACATGTATCCAACATGCATGCACGTGCCACGTTCCGTGACGTCAGTGGGTTCGTGCATTCCGGGAAAGAGAAACAGAGCAAATGAATGCCACACAATACTGTCACTTTGGAAAGCTCAACCCCTGCCCTTGCGATCGTTCAAAAAATTAAACGGCTATTGAAACGCATAGCATGCCAAGGCTCACGTCTGCACAACGTCAAGAGGCCATTGGGATGGTCCGTGGGGGAATGTCTAAACGACAAGTGGCTGCACATTTCCACTGCCACCGGAACACCATTTCTGCACTGGTGAGACGCTACCAGAACACAAATGACGTCATCGATCGGCCACGTTCTGGACATCCACGTGTAACAACGCCGAGACAGGACAGATGGATAAGGGTGACCCATCTTCGCCTCAGGTTTCAGACTGCAGTGATGACTGCCCGAACCATCCAAGGACTTCGCCGTATCCACCCCAACACACTTCGACAACATTTACGTCATCACGGGATCAGACCACGACGTCCCGCCATACGGCCTATCCTGACACAACGTCATCGACAAGCTCGCCGAATGTGGCGTCGAAATCATGTCCGCAGACCCTTGTTTTGGTGGAGAAATGTTGTTTTTACAGATGAGTCCAGGTTTAACATTTCCCATAGTGATAGACGTCAACGTGCCTATAGACGCGTGGGAGAACGTTATGCACAGGCCTGTGTCTTGGAGAGGAATCGCTTTGGTGGTGGTTCCGTGATGATTTGGGGTGGAATAACAGCACGCCAAAGAACTCCTTTGGTGATTGTTCAGGGCAACGTAACTGGTGTGGGCTACAGGGATCAGATTCTTCGACCTGTGGCAATTCCTTTTCTGCAACGTCATGGCCCTGGGTTAGCATTCCAACAGGACAATGCCCGCCCTCATATGGCAAGGGTTGCTGTGGATTTCTTGCAACACCACAACGTTGACTTACTGCCTTGGCCTGCAAATTCACCGGATCTCTCCCCGATAGAACATGTTTGGGACGAGATGGATCGACGTCTACGCCGTCTTCCTCATCCGCCAGATAACGTCCATGACCTTGCAACAGAACTTGAGAGAATCTGGCGTGACATCCCACAAGCCTTCCTTGCACGTTTGATAGGCTGTATGCGTCGTCGATGCACTGCTGTTCTCAATGCCAATGGTGGACATACCCGTTATTGAGCTTGTGACATGGTCGTTTGACCCCTGTCCCGCTTGTGGACTCGTGACGTCATTGTGATTGACTTTTCAATTGAAATTCTCCCGACTTGTTATGGTCTCATGATCCCTCCATTTAAGTTAATATGTACCTTTGACATTGTTATCGTACTTATCAACTGGGATAATATTTTGATAATGCACAGTTTATTTATGTGACTAGTATAGTAGGAGAGCTAGACAGTAAACCGGGGCTTAGTTTATCGATTTTGTGACCCACAATGGGGGCCATTGGGGTACTTAGAGTTGCGAACTATCGTAACTATATAGTTTATTATAGGATTAAGAATGACGTAGTGCTACGAACGTTTTGTGGATCCCGCACCTGGTAAGACAAGCAGAGGCTGATTGGTACCTACTGTAACCCGAAAACATTTATGGAATAATTCCCTTAACAGTTACTCTTTCATCTGGAAGCAGTATCGTTCAGATTTGGGATTTCAACAGACAAAACAAGCGACTTACCTGGGAGAGCCATACTGGTTAGACATAACAATACAAGCTGTGTTGCCATAATAGCCACAGCTTGGAGGCCGCTACACATACAGTGCTTCCTTCTACAAGATGGGTGACATTTCTGGTGACAATATATCCCGGTCTTATAATCTGGAGGAGATGTGGTGTATCCGGATGGCGATGTGTGCGAGGACTGAGAAACCCAGTACTCTACATCTATATGTTTCCGTAATGCCGCATCAATATACTGTTAACGTATGACTGATTCAGTATTATATCAATATGTCTGAACTTAAACGACGTAATTAATGAGACACGCTCGAAGAGCTCTGTCGTGTTACGATGTGAACACACTTTAAAACATGGTACAAGCTATTTCATTTTCTGTTGAGGGAAAAAGCTTTACTTAAGAAATACATTTCGATCTACTGGAGCGACATATATTTCTTTTGTAAAATGCCAAGTTCAATATTTACCGACGATTACTCTAAGGCAGACCCATTTCTGGTGTCCCCGCATTGATATTGCTGGAATATTGCAACCTACTCACTCACTCCAAAGGCAGAAAGCAAACAAAAAAGCGACGGTGACCTAAATTAACAATCCCTTAACTGATGTGCTGTTCTATTGACGTTTCTGCCCCTTACGTTAAGACGCACGTTGCCAAGAAAACAAATGATAAACAGTGTGAGGATATAACCATCTTCCCTGTATTATTTTGATTAAATGTGAGATTATTGCGAACCATATGGGACAATATGAACGTCGCATTTCTACTTACATTAAAAATTTAGACCAGCATATCCAGACGAAGCTGTCACGCGACATTCCACGGATTATTGTGAGTCGGGATGATTGTTGAGATTGCCATGTCACTCTCTTATTGTGAGTCGAGATGAGACGGGGGAGTTTTTTTTATCGTTCGAGACTTGACTGTAAGGAGGGCAAACTAGAATGGCGCGGTGATGCCAACATGGTGTGACTTAATGCAACAAATTTACTTTATCGCCTGTTAAAATACTGTCGGTGAGCGAAGCATCTTAGGAAATACACCCCATCGTAAGCCAGTGATAAACTATAGAATTACGACAGTTCGTAAAGTTATGACCGCCTTGTGGATCTGGCCCCTGGCATATAATTGTATTATCATACGCTAATTTGATTTGTTTACCAGTTTTGGAGGGAACAGGTAATCCCTTTTCAAATGATATCACTTGATATATTCTCGTTTTTTTTCAGGGATGTTCTTCAGTATGCTCAGCCACACTCTCACAAAGTCAGCATCTTAACTGTTTCAGAAATTAAGGTTTCTATAACAACAAGAAGTCCTATGCCTTTTATAAGTGAGTCAAATGTATCATGTATTACATTTGTGACTCATTGGCTTGTGGCAGAAGTAGATTAACAAGTTGTAAAGGTTAGCGACAGATTTGCTTTTGGGCAACTAGAGCAAACGAAATGCCGAGACATTGGATGTTTTATGTCACTGTTTATTTGTGAAGGTCGTCGCCATGACACTACAGAGTATCCCAAACCTATCTGACAGATATATGTGGGATGACCTTAGCATAATGTGTACGGAATTAACTGTTTTTTCACGACTTTAAGTGCTAGGGTGAAACAGCTAGCCTATGAGTTTCCGGAAGTTCAGCAACTCTTTCAGAAGAAGATAAGCTCTGGATTCCTGGTAAGATTCAGCACTGATGATGCCCGTGTGTTGTTTGATACAGTGTACTGTTTGCAAATGTGGACTAAGAGCAGCGGATATGTGGGTTGATCAGTTTGTGTTCATATCTGATAACCTTAGTGTGTTTGAGCGATTCAACGGTGGACGATTCAAAATTATCAACGAGGGCTGAAGCAAGGTAGAAAGGTTACTTTTCAGTAAGTTTCAAATAGCATGCAAGTATATTTCTTTTGTCAATAGAAGCGACAAAACTCTTTCCACATTAATAAAAAATCTCTGCTAAAAGCAGATGTCATACATTGTTAAGGTTCTTCCAGGCTTAATAAATACACTCTCGTGCATGTGCTTGTATTAAAATGCCCCAATTTGATATGATTATTAGTTTTGGCGGCAAGAAGTAATTCTGTTCAAATAATATCACCCATTAAACCATGGCTCCTTTGTTTCAGACCGGGGGTTTAACTGATCGCTGCTTGAATTCATCATAACGTATATATCCAGTCCTATTTCTGAAGATGGAGGCGATGTCACTATCAAATACGTGTGCGTCCATACTGTACATGTGCTCTGACCAAAGTGGCGATACGCATGCGCGTGCCTTGGGGTATTCAGAAAACAAATAATAACTCATGTCAAAATCGTTAAGAATTTGAAGTCGTTCGAAATGCACGTGCAGGTCACATGCTAGCCAGCGTCTGACGTCAGTGGCTTCGATGGGAAAGCCTGTTCACAACCATGAACACAAAACATACCTACACACAAAATGAAGATCGCTATTTTAACTTAAAGTAACA